TAACCACCGCCATATTAGATTAAAAATGGCGACATTTAGGTAATCGTGCAGTCACGAGAACCAAACATGAGTGCCAAATTTCAGCTCAATCGGACACTGGGAAGTAGGTCAAAAACTTGCAAGATTTGTTTACAGACGTACACCGGGACAGGTAAAACTACGTATACATAAAAGCTTATAATAACTTTTATTTTTATCGATATAAACACGTGTTGTGTATACGGTATCTAGAAATACTGGAATCAATATCTTAAATATAAACATGACACTTTACTAAAGGGAGATTTAACGACTAACTTCACACTTAGCCAATGACGACTAACTTCCTACTGTAGGCTAAATCTGTCGCATTGTAAAAAAATTTACTCTCATCGTTCAGTTTTCATAACGCGCCAAAAGAAGTATAACTTCAAAAAAAACTTTTACTAAATGTCATGAGCAATGCAATAAAACAAAAACTTTTGTAATTGAACAATTCACAGTTTCGAAGATATTAAGAATACCTAATATCTACAATACGATATGGATTGAGCCTAGATTACAGGACAGTTTACAGGGAAAATATAACTAAAACTTTTCGAAATAATATGTGCACCAAAATGCATGCAACTGCTAGTTAATGTTTATGTTTCAAAACAACTTAAATTAAATTTGATAGCGCCGCTACCTAATGCTTTTTGACTAGAGCTAGTCAAAACTCATAGTAGTAAACCTCTCAAACCAAAGTTATCCAAAATCAAAAGTTCTCAAGCCGAAATCTGCACTGACGGTAACATTCAGCCATACTAAAATAGTTTGATTTTTTTTTGTTATAGAAAATGGCATCTGGCATATTATTATCAATAAGAAAAATGTCTGGCATTAATAATTTATAGTTTATAATTTTTAAAAATTAGTGGAAAATAAAATCTTTTTAAAATTATTTGAAAATTTAACAATTTTATCTGCTCAGGTGTTATGCGCATGGCGATCGAGAGAACGTAAGAACTAAGAAAAGACATGTCAAAAAACTAGCTTTCTTAAAATTCTCTCTCAAAAACATTACTATTTGCTAACTTTTAGACCAGATTTGTGCGTAATCATTACGCATCCTGCCATCTAGTTTAAAATTTGAAAACTAAGAAAGAAAACTATGTAAATGTCATAATATACTACTTTTTAGTATATGTTTCGTACATTTTTACACAGATGTCGCTATTTGAAATGAAGAACAATTTAACTTTTTGAGAGTATATTTACGTATAGGTCAAGGTTCGTATAGAGTACACTGGATACATATAATATAATTCTAACTGAGTCGAATCTGTACATAAAATATTTTTTGGAAAATCTTATTGAAATAGTGATTACATAGATCCATAATTTTTGTCGTCTTACTTATAACACATTTTGATGAAACTTGGTATGATGATAGCTGGTTGTCAACATATGGGATACTTTTTACTGCGGGGAAAATATCTCATCACTCAGAAATCTATACTAACCTTAAAACGTAGGGGTGAAGATTATAGGTATGTTTTGTGATGAAGAAAAAGAAGAGAAAACTTTCTACCCCTTTATAAACACATTGTGCTTTTGGAGACTATGAGCTTTAGGGTGGATATAAACCAATTTTTATGATTATTATTTAATAAAATGCAGATAATAAGAAGAAAGGCTTTAAGAGTATGCAAATATAAATTTCTCATAATTAAAAATATTTTTGGATATCACACAACAACAACAACTGCACTTATCACCATTTTTACAGAAAATGGTGAAAAACAGCATAAAGCTATATAACACACCTACCTACTACTGACATACATTTGACATAGGTACTACTGATAAAAATATTCAATCGAAAAAATGTTTGCTTGATGAATTAAAAAATTATTCACAATTAGTCAACCGGCAAAGAACCAGTCTTTTAACTTTGTTTTGAGGATTCATATATTATAATATACTTACATATTATATACCATGAAAATCGTGTGATTGCGTTCTCTAGCTCGTAAAATCAATATTATCTTTTATGTAGTAAAATATAAATAGGTTGTAAGAGATTTAATAAGGTAATTTATTCAAAAAAAAAATTTTTTTTCGGTCTGTTCTTTTTCTACTATTTTATATTATACTATCGACTCACTCTCGCTTCGCTCGGATTCATCCGTAGCTTGCTTCCCAATACAAACTTTCATCCCCATATTCACCCCCTTAAGGGATTATTTCCGGGATAAAAAGTATCCTATGTCCTTCCCAGGGGCTCAAACTATCTTCTAACCAAACATCTAAATCGGTTAAGTAGATCCAGAGATACCCCCTACAACCTCACAAACTTTACCTCTTTATATTATTAATAAGTATATTATATTAGCGTTTTTATTTTTTATTTATTTTTATTTATGTAAAAAATTTAAGTTTTTTTATGAAATGTAATTATATAGAATAATCTAAATACTTAATTACTTTCTACTTAAAATGTAATTAAAGTATTTCCCGTAAAAACTTTAATTACACGAGTAGGTAAGTGTTATTAAATGAATAGATACTTAATTAATGAAAAATATATTAAATATAAGGTAATAGTTAATAAACAATGCAAATTATTTAGAATTATTATTTATCAATAATTTATAAACTTTATAGGGCGTGTTTTTAATCGGGACGAACCTCGAATCGAATCGAACGACCTCGAATGATACTCTAAAATCTAATCAGTTAAATACTGCGCGCTCTCTGCCCTCTATTTCGTAAACAGTTCAAGATATAAAAAAATCTTTTTAACAAAAGTTGTAAAGAAAATTAAATTCTCTACAATATTTATAATAAATACAAATAGCATAATACCCACAGGAAACGCTGACTGTCTCTAATTCCAAGATACTTGCCTTATTTGACTAATATGACTGGACTAAGAGATAAACATTTCAAGTGAAAGTTATAGAGCATAAAATTTTACGTGAAGGGTCAAGTAATTTTAATAGTAACTAAAATAATAAAAAATAAGAATTTTAAGTTTGTTCATAAATCTTCATAAATCATAATTATCAATGATAATATAACTAACTAAAAACCTGTAACTGTTCTAACATGTAAAATCAATTTAAATTCCCAGCAAGCATACAAATAGTGAGATATAAAATATATTTTATAATCCTCAAAAAAGGCTAATAATAGAGAAAAATAATTGAAACTAAAGTTGTAATTATAAGAAATATCTTAAATATAAATTTAATATAGAAAAAATTAAATATAACAATATTACACAAAAAAATATATAAAAAGTTGTTATCAATCCCCGTCAAGAGTCTGAAAAGTAGAATTAATAATTTATTTTCGAAATAGCTCAAAATGCTACAATTTAGATAAATTTATTTCAAATAAAAATTATACAACAAAATTTTACACGAAAAAGGGTAGGCATGTCATTTTCTCTCATAACAAATTAAATTTAAAAAATTAAGAGTACTTTTAAAATGAGTAAAAAAATGTGTAATATATGGTCAGTCTTAAAAAATCAATAAAGTTAAAACAGTAAATTTTTATTTATGAAATGCAAAAAATAAAGAAATTTAATAATATGCCAACTAAATATATGACGTATGTGTACATATTACGCACGACATAGTATGTACTATGTACATAAATGTCGGTACAAAATAAAACATCTATGTATAGTGCAAGTAAACTAAAATAGCTTTAGTTAACATTTGATTTCGGAACTCTAACTCTTAACTTCCCTCGAAAATGTTACTCTCACCGAAGCTTCTAATATACCCACTATATAACCATTAACATAAAATTCGACAAAATCGTTTTAGCCTTTCGATGCCTGTATTGGTCCAAACAATGGATTTATTTTTTTGAAATCACACAAAATTGAGGGAACCGTTTATACGGAATATAAGTTGAAATAAATATTTATAGGTCAAATTAATCAAGAGGGCCCTCTAAAAAGCTTATTTCGATTTTCGATCATAGTCCTCTTATGTTAAACTCCCGTCTACTTGAGACGGATTAACAAAAGATCTTTATTTTCCAAATCAATATCATTAATACCATCATAGTAGATATTTCATTATTATGTATACACTAGCATTGCCCGCGACTCCGCCCGCGTTAAGATGACCAAAAACCAAATTCTTAGGTTTTACATATTAGTATACTCTTACATTGCAGTTTTTGTATTTTTTCTCAGAAATGAGATATTTTCCCGCGGTAAAAAATATTCTATATGTTAACCCGGATAACCAGCTATCACTATACCAAATTTCATCAAAATCCCTCCAGTAGTTTTTCTGTGATGCGGTAACAGACAGTCAGACAAAAATTCTAAAAACTATAGATTCGGCATCTGTAACGATAATAATGTCTATTTCAATAAGATTTTCCAAAAAATATTTAATGTACAGATTCGGCTTCGTTACAATTTTATTATATGTATAGATTATAGATATGTATAGTTCCATTATGTAACGACTATTTAGGTCACTTGAAATATAATCTTACTCGCTCTTAATATATTTAATACATAACTTATCAAGTGTATGTATCTATGAATACCTCCTATCAATAAGTATAAGTCATACTTTAATATAGTGGATTATTTTTATATTAAACTACGAGCATATACTCTGTAGGTTCAATGAAACGAAATTGATTGAACGACAGTTCAACAATAGATTAATTAAGGAGGTCGGTTAAAGTGTATTCTAGATACATAAACTTGCAAAGTCTAAAAGTATTTACGAAATAAGACAAAATTAATAGTAATTTGGCCAAGCCAAGTTATTCGTAGATTTGAGTTACGGATAAACCAACAAGTTAAATTCACATGACCGTAGGAATCCCTTCAAGCCACACGCGTCGGCTTACCTGAACTGTGAAACTTAATATACCTACTGCCCCAAATAATAGTGAAGTGAAAATGTTCATTGATTTTAAAGTTTGTTTTTTATTGGAAAATTCATAGTGTATAAAAGTTTAGTGGCTACAAGCAATTATATTTGAATGCAACAATGAGTACTAAATATGGGGCAACAAATAACGATGACAAATTAGTAAATGGTAACAAGAATATCATCTACAAGGAAATCGATATTAGGTAAGGGATATTTTAGTGCCGAAATATGACAATTTGTGATGATGTTCCCGGACATTTTTCAATTTAGCCAATTTGACACACGCTAAGGCACAAAGGAACATTGTCAAGATTATTAGGAAATAGCGTCTTCCTGTACTTAATATTGATCAAATCGCGTGATACGATATCTCTAAAATAACTAAAATTTAATTTAAAAAAACACAAATAACATATTAATAAATAATAAAACCTAATTAAAACAATTAAAAAAAACGAGTAAATTAGTTATCACGCCTCCTTTTTATTAATCTTCGTCTAATTTTGTAGGTACTTACCTACTTTCCAGTAACGCATTGTTGCCACTTTTTACTTTGTATTCTAATCCATTTACTACTTAGTCTTGTAAGTTATGTTTATCTTTAAGTAATTTAGAGTGTACGCTGAAATACCATTGTTAAATCATCTTTCTTCTTTGAATAATAAAGAAACTTGTGCAACAAATATTTTGTAACGATGATGTTTTTAAAACTTGTTCTATATAATAGCCGTAATTAGGACAAATTCCTATTGATATTCATAATGTTTTATTTAGCTGTTCTTTGTTATAGCGTAATATTATAATAATTATTTAATAATATTATTATATGTTAAATATAAATAACAAGGTTACCGAATTTAAAGAACCTCATTCGGCCTACCTCCACCTAGGCAGTATATGAACAGCTTTTAATGTTTATCCGCGGCTCCACTCGCATAGGCAACAGGACGAGAATGAAAGGGATAGACATGATGCAATCTATGTTCCAATATATGCCAAACTAGCATTGCCCGCAGCTCCGCCCGCGTTCAGATGACTAAAAACCAAATTCTTAGGTTTTACATATTAATACTCTTGCATTGAAGTTTTTGGTTTTTTTTCTCAGAAATGAGACATTTTCCAGCGTTAAAAAGTACTATATATGTTGACCCGGATAACCAGCTATCACCATACCAAATTTCATCAAAATTCCTCCAGTGGTTTTTCTGTGATGCGGTAACAGACAAAAATTCTAAAAACTATAGATTCGGCCTCCGTATCGATAATAAAGTATATTTCAATAAGATTTTCCAAAAGATTCAGCTCAGTAACAATTTTATTATATGTATAGATTTTGTCGAAATATATTAAATGGTTTAAACGTGACAAAACTATTAGATAGACAAACAGAGTTTAATGTTTACATTATTATTATGTATTTTTAGTGTTCCATGCCGACGACGACGATGGTGGAAATTAAGCCAGAACCTCTTATACGGTCTAGGCCATATCTACAACGACCTTTGCGCAGCCATGTGGTTTTCATACATGATGTTGTTCTTTCAAGCGGTACTCGAAATGAGGGCCGTAGTCTCCGGTGCCATGATGCTTTTAGGTATGTATAGCGTTACATATGTGTCATTGACCAAAGATTCAAATTCGATATCTTTGAAATATAAAACTCGGTGAATGGAAACTGGAATTTTGTTGTGGGTAATAATAAGCCTATGACTTTTTTGTATAAAACAAAAACATCTTATTAACATTCTAGTCTAGCAAGTTTTCATTTTTATTGATATTTGAAGCATTACTATTTACTACCGATATATATATATATATATTCTATTTACTACCGATATATATATATATATATATATATATATATATATATATATATATATATATATATATATATATATATATATATAGATATATATATATATATATATATATATAACCACATGTGTAAGTAATATAACGTAGTAGGTATTTATTAATAAGTTGGTTCTTTAAGAAAAACCTTTTTTTAATGATAGATATTACGTATTACTATAATTGCTCTTATAAACCTAACCTGAAATTATTATAACTATAATAATAAATATTAATTATATATCCTAATAAAAACATTTATTTTTTTAAACCATACACTTCACCTTAACCTAGGTACTTTGTTCCACACAATCCAAACCTTAAAAATATATATTTTAAACTTAGATAAAAGTACATATGTAAATAATATGTATCTATCGCCATATAAAGTAATTACAGCCATAACTAAATATTTTCACGTATGAAAATCGAACTCGAGAACCTCGCTAAAGTTGATAACTCCCAGCCTATGTAAACCTTCAGTATAATTCTCTCTAATAAATAACCCTGATTTAATAAATATATAATAATTTGTGGTTTAACTAATATACAAGCGGGTCAAGTTACTAGTTGGTATTAGTTATTGTATCCTTGAACCCTTATTGATCAAGTGTTGTTTCAGGCCAAGTTGTGGATGCACTCGCTACTCCAATCGTAGGTGTACTGGCAGATAAATATAGTACCAAGAAAGCTTGGCATTTATTAGGTAAGAAAAAAGTTACATTAAATGTTTATAAAAAGTTATATGTTTATTCCAAAATGATTACCACTTGTCTTACGGTGAAGGAAAACATCGTGAGGAAACCTGCATGTCTGAGAGAATCTAACAAGTTTTCGAAAGACGTGGAAGTCCCCCAACCCACGTGGTGGTCGGTGGACCGTGGACATAGCCTGATACCCCTCGCATAGGATAGAGTCCGTGCCCAGCTCAGGACGTTAAAAAGGATTTAATACGAAATGTTTATAGCAACACACAGTATAGTATTAATTGATTAAGCTATTATACTTTTTGACCAACTCCAAATAAGAGCTACTTACTGTCTGTATTCATTCTGGTATGTCACGCGATATCTTTCAAAATTGTAATTCATGTTATCATATTTTTATTTATATTAAAATTTCTTGGCATACCTACCTCAATGGTTCCATATGAATGAAAAAAAAATGACTCCAAGGATGAATGAATGAAGTTTTTTCATAAATACATTTTAGGAGATTTTATATACATTCTCATTCGCTTCACGTATATTTTTATTATCAAATACGTAATATTATGTAAGTATAATAAATTAATTCATGAATTATTTATACATACTTTTTAAACGATAAAGGCTAAAAAGTTAATATTGTACACACCGCTCTATCTATATTCTATACTAATATTATAAAGAGGTAGGAATTTATGAGTTTGTGATATTGTGAGTTTATGAATTTGTGACGTTGTAGGGGGGTAATCTCTTGATCTACTTACTGAACCGATTTAGATGAAATTTGGTAAAAAATTAGTTTGAGACCCTGGGAACGACATAGGATACTTTTTATCCCGGAAATCATCCCTTAAGGGGGCGAAAATGGGGATGAAAGTTTGTATGGGAAAACTAAGCTAGGGACGAACCCGAGCGAAGCGAGGGTGAGTCGCTAGTAGGTACAATATAAAATTCTAATAATGTTCGAATCTTTTTCAAAATGTAATAATCAAATGTATACCTAATTAAGAAATATGCTTAGTTTTATTAACACTGTATGCTCACTGTATGCTCTATGTGTAACAGAAATTGTCTTACAAATTACAGGATGTGTGCTAGTAACAACTACTTTTCCACTATTATTCATTCGATGTTGGAGTTGCTGGGCATCAAATACTGCAGAATATTTAAAATGGTGGATGCCATTATACTACGCCGTTTTGATTATAATCTTTCAAATTGGATGGGCTATTGTACAGATCTCACATTTAGCTATAATACCTTCTATTACCGATAGCCTGCAGATTCGTTCTGAGTTAACTTCTATAAGGTAAAGGCATTATCAAGTATATAATATATCTACCAGCGTTGCTCGCAGCTCCGCCCGCATTTAATTGACGATAAAAATAAACTGTTTGGCTTTATATTAGTACTTATACTTAATATGTATATACCTAAGTACCTAATATTTTGTTGAATTTGAAACGCCGGAACGATTTTGAAATGACAATGTATGTAAATATTTGCTCTGAAAATGAAAATATTTATTTTTTATTTACATTTTATGAAGAAGCTATTTTGAATACATATAGCGACATCTATATCTTCTATACCTATAATAAAATTGTAACTAAGTCGAATCTGTACATTAAATATTTTTTTGAAAATCTTATTGAAATAGACATTATTATCGATACAGAGTCCGAATCTATAGTTTTTAGAATTTTTGTCTGTCTGTCTGTCTGTTACCGCATCACGAGAAAACCACTGGACAGATTTTGATGAAATTTGGTATGATGGTAGCTGGTTATCCGGATCAACATATAGAATACTTGTTACCGCGGGAAAATATCTCATTTCTGAGATAAAATACAAAAACTGCATTGTAAAAGTATACTAAATTTGGTTTTTGGTCATCTGAACGCGGGCGGAGCCGCGGGCAATGCTAGTATAATATAAAACTCACAAAGACTTTAAATAACACTATCATTAAGCTTTATTTATGTACGTATTTCAGCTTTATGATATTTTAAAAAATGTGGATTTGCACTACTAGAGGATTATGATGTAAATAATATTCAATGTATTGTTGTCTTTGCGAAAAATTATTAAAATAATGTTCAACATATGCGAAAAGATAAATGCAGTCTATATATAAGACTATATACCCTCACTGTCATAGAGTGTTAGAATAAGATAATGCAGGAAGAGCAGATCTCTTCGCAGGCGTAGGACTAACACTGTCTTTTTGTGTACTCTATTACGAGGAAGTAGCACTTCCTACCAACTTCTCAAGTCCAGACCGCTACTGGATATTTCTTGATTGAAAACACCTTGACCTCATGATCTGTAGTTTCTAGGCTAGTATTAACTACTAATATTAATTATTACTAACAAGTCGTTTGAGTAGATTAACGAAGTAGTTGAAATTATCAATACATATATTATAGATATAAAACAGTAACGGTGATTTTTTGTGATTTCGTGTTTTCCCTTGCCATTTTTTTAATTCTTTGTGTATAGCAATAATTTACAATGCACCTAAATACTTAAAATATTTATTCTACCTATCCTACCTAGGTCACAGTCTACACATATCTGTGTACAAAATTTTAAGAGACGTTCTAGCGTGAAGAAGTGACAAATACACACATACAAAATAATTCATTTTTATTTAAATATATGTATATAGGAATACCAATATTAAAAAAATAATAATTAAGTAACCATGTTCTATTATGATTGACAGTTATACTAAATTAAAGTATTTCTCTTCCAGATATATGGCTTCAGTTCTATCGAGCTTAACCGTGTATTTTATTACTTGGATTGTATTGAGAGCATCCAATTACAGCACATTTATTGGACCAACCGACGACTATAAGTTCCGAGTAATTCTATTATTTATATTTTCATTCATTTTCATTTAACTGCCTCAGTTGTCTAGTGGTTAGATGTACGCCTGCAGATCTGGAGGTCCTGGGTTCGAGTCCTGGGTTCAGCCAAGTTTAGTTATTATGTCCTTTTGTTAATTTCTGCACAGTTGACTAGTCTTAATAAGATTGGCCGCGAGGCCGAAATCAGTCAGGAGGATTATTATAATTTTCATTTAAAAAAAAATTTAATAATTAAGAGGCCTTTATAAACGTAAGCTATTTCCTAGCCCCTAGGGATCACGTATGATTCGACAGAAGACAGACAGGAGTTTGTTCAACATATTTGAAAATAACTAACCATAATTTACTTTGTTACAGAATGTATCATTAATCATTTCTTCCATCGGTGTAGTGTCGTATGTCATATTCCACGTTTTCTTTAAATTAAAACCTGCAAGCGAGCCGAAACTAAATGGGCACATCGGGGAAACTACGGAAATCGAACCTCTTAAGCTATCAGCGAAATCGAAAATAATGCATTTTTTACAAATGCCATTGTTATATCAAACTAGTTGCCTGTGAGTAATTTTTATTCTATTAAAGAAAAAAATTATCTATTTAAACAAATTTAATAATGAGGTTCGCCATTAATTTTTTTTTGTGCATCATGTGTTTACTAGATATAAACAACTAAGAAGCCAACATATTATATACGTATGATAACTCATAAATCAGTAATACTCACAGCAAAACCAAATTTTCAGATATGTATTCTCAAGACTATATTGGGCATTAAGTTTAGTGTATGTGCCACTGTTCCTAGAAGAACGTTTATCAGTTAATCCAACTGAGGGTTCTGAAATGGTCGCCAGTGTCCCTCTCGTTCTTTACATATCTTCATTGATATTTTCATTTCTTTTAAAGAGCAAGATTAATAAAATGGGGCATCAGGTAATATATATTTTATTGAAAGTATAAATAATAAGAAGATATCTTATAAATTAACTAAATACAATAAAAATACTTTATGAATTTATTTAATTTCCTTTTGAACATTTCATAAGTACGTAGAACTAGATACTTCAAGAATTTTTATTTGTAGTTTTTAAATATATTTCCATTAAATTATAGTTGACATAAAAGCGCTGGGAAACAAAAAGAACTTTATGAAAAAATTTGCACACAATTTTAGAAACAAAAACTCTATTCTTTTCAAATCCCTTAAAATTTTAATGAATATTTATATTTCTAATATTTAGGTGGCGTACCTCGTGGGAAGCTCTTTAAGCTTAATAAGCTGTATGTGGATTGCTCTAGCTATAGGTCCAGATGCTCATGTATGGCAAATATATTTAGTGGCGACATTAATGGGTATATATTTATTTATTTATTGTTATGTTAAATAATAATTAATTAAAAAGTTCCTTTAAAATTAATCTACTTACAATGGAATTAAATTAATATTCTCTTCACATAGAAAATTAACATAGATTTTCCTGTTATTTGTATTAATACCTAAAACATCTAGATATATTTTTTTTGTAACTTTGGATATTTCAGAAAATTATTATTTCTTTTTAACTATACTTTATTTCAAACATTCAGTTGTTGTGGTCGACTATTAAATGTAAAGAGCACACAACACTTGTGTTGTCAGATTAAAGGAGCTTGAAGAACAAATATACCTACATTTCAAAGTATCCATATTTTTAATACCATCTTAAGTAGAAAGACTTAGAGCCAGATGTCATAAAACATTTCTGATCAAGTTGCATTCATGAAGTACTAATTTGCGGATTCTTCTTTATGTTTATGTTATAAATTCTTTGCATTCGTCACATTATGCGTGCTTATTTAATTACATAATATAAATAGGTTATTATATGTATTGCTATGAAGAAGTTTAGTATCAACATTAAATATCTGCAGCAAAATATATTGATTATATTTTTATAACAGGTGCTGGAAGTTCGATTACGCTGGTGTCCAGTTTATGTGTAACTGCAGATTTGATAGGACCACACTCGCATCAAGGCGCTCTTATATATTCCATTGTTACATTCGCAGACAAATTGGTCACTGGCATAGCTGTAGTGGCTATCGAAAACTAGTAAGTTCAAATACTTTATTTAAAAGAAAATAGTATCAGAAAAATAAATGTATATACTAAGTAAATATTAAATTATAACTATTATAGGAATTATAAGCTTTTCTAGGATTTAAAAAAAATATCAGCTACAGCCGTCTTTGCTTCGCTCAGGCTCTACACCTCGCGTGTTGATCAGTATTTTTTTTCAATATAGGTACTAATATCCCATTTTATATACTAATGATTTACTATTAAATTATTAAATCGAATGGGATCCATTTAAAATATCAAACTAAAAAAAAACCTAACTACATAATATATTACACAGAAATAACACAGTGTATTGTCACTTCCAGTCAAATAAGATCTGAAATCAAAATTTGGTACTCAACTTTGCATTTTTGATATAATATAGTTTTAATGATACAAAAACAATGTGTAAAGCTTTTCGTGTCTTCAACCCCCGGCAAGGATTGAAAAAAAATTGTCAATAATGTTTTATCGCAATTACTCGAAAACGGTAAAAATTAGACAAAAAAGTTTTAATAAAAATGTGTAGAGCTTAAAATTTTACATAAAAAAGTATCATGACTTTTTTTCCTCTGGTCAAAATTAACCGAATTATGGAGGTTTTAAGTTTAAGGGACGAACAAGGAAGTTAAAATTCGCTTATGTTTCTACTACGATTTTTAAAATTTACGTTCATTCGTTTTCGTTTTGTGGCTTTTATTATAACGTGTTTCCCGTGGGAATGAGATACTTAATGTCCCACGGTAAAAAATACCCTATGTCACTCTCCAGCCCTCCAACTTAAACTACACAAAAAATCACGCCAATCTGTCGCTCTGTTGCGACGTGAAAGAAAGACAAACAAATAAACAAACACACACTTACACATTTATAATATTAACAATAAGTATGGATTATAACGATACAAAAAATGTGACATTATTTTTTCAGTAAATGTGACGACATACTAAGTTGTCCACAATACTATAGAGGAGTTTTAACATTTGCTTGTGGAGGAAGTGCGGTACTTGGCATTCTATCTCTCTCAATAACAGCTATAAGCTCCAGAGGCTCCAAAGTTACACCTCAAATATGAACATATGGGAATATGATACCTACTATTTTAAGACTATTTTAAGTTCACCTAAATTTGTTTAATAAATTAAAACTTCTAAAATAGAATTTTGGTTTTTAATTTTTATACATTTTTAATTTATTGTTTAGTAATTAGAGGAGACTGATAACATCAGCGCAGTGGTAAATATTAGTATTATACAAAAATAAAGTGCAACAATGTACTGTTAAATTGGTTTTATTGGATTCAATTTAAATACAGCAACAAATGGATCATGACAAAATTCTCTATTGTTAAACACATTTACTCTTATGTGTGATTTTTGACTCTTTGTTTTGGCAGATTTAATAATTTTTAATTTTTTAGATTGATTAGTATCTGTTACTGATCCATAAACGTATAAGCAATATAAATTATTACATTTTTGAAACATAATAAATGGGTCGGATAAATTAAAAGTGTCTGAAGACATATCACATATATTGACATTTTCTAATGTATTACACTGGCTCATAGATGAAAACATAAGCTCAAAATCAATTCTTTTATCCATCAGTCTAATATTTTTGAGGGTTTGACTCAAGGGAATAGATCTTGATATTGATGCAAAGCATGAACAAATAGGAGGGACTTCTATGTTCAGAGTAATAAGTTGATTGCAACATCGAAATAATAAGTTAAAAAAATCCGAACTATATCTCACAACACCACATAAGTTCAAATAAGTTAATTTTCTTAAATAATCACTATTTGTTGATAATGTAACACCACTTTTAATTTTACCATTGAAATGTAAACTTAATTGCAACTGAGATTTATTTTGAAATTGTTTATCGTAGTTTATGATAAAATTTGGTTGTACACATCTCCGCCTTTTAAAGCCCACTTCATTAACAAAACTTGAACCTAAATCATTCTCTTGTGTAGGAATAGTACAATACCAATCATAGCTTAAAGGAACTGGAGTATTTGCTGATGACTTGAAAGAAAATGGAAAAAGTGGTTTCAATTTTTGTAATAGATTTTTATAAAATGCCTCATCAAATTGTGTAACTGTTTTACTCCAAAGCATTACACAAGCATTACCAGTTAAAGTAACACCAAAGTCTAACAGGCATTCTGCATTTAAATCAAAATGCTTGCTAAAAAAGCTTTTAAATATAGGTGTTGCATATATAGTACTCTTTGGAGCATCCAATTTGAATATAATAATAACTTCGTAATCTTGGAAGTTCAGCATTGTAAATAAATACATTTCAAGGAGAAAGCAATAGTATCTGCTTGGATTTAATCCATCAAAAAAATAGAGACAAAATTCATCAAAGTGTAAACTCTCTTCACATTCTTCATTTTCATAAGTAACCATTTCACAATTCGTGATTGTATATTGTAGTGTTTTTAGCTTTGCTTTATTTAAAATAAAACATGGAAGTTGTGAATACAGTAAATTGCTAACATTTCCAACAAAATTGACACTCTCAATGTTCCTGAATACTTCTTGACATTGTATTAATGTCTTCTTTGCTAATTTATGCTGATTATTGTTCGTAAAAATAAAATCAATTGTAATGTTTTTTATACTTGGGCATGCTTGATAGATTTCAATAAAGTCTAAAATATTGATATTTGTGTAAGAAATATTTAATGTTTTTAGACATTTTAGTTTACTCATACTAGATATTAGTGTTTTCTTATTTAAATCACTTATACCACACATGTTTAACTCTTGTATATTTCTTGATATATCTTTGAAGAAGGCTAATTTTAGTGTATTCACTGTAGCCATAGTACTCATTGATAAATTGCATACTTTTACATCTCCAAATGAGGCTATAATTTGTCGCAATCGTCCACAAGTACTATATAAATTAAATAATGAAACTAGATCCAGCTGATGAAAAATTATAATAAGAATTTCGACTGGTAAATTTAATAGACTCATTTTTATCACTATCAGTTCAGCAAGTAACAACTGTGTTATTAATTACACTTTTTACTTAAAAATAAAAATATTTACATTTCCTTGTTTGCAAAAATTGCAAAATAAAAGATTTAAGATACTATGACTAAGAATGTCAAAATTTGACTTGAATTTGGTTTGATTTTCAATCTTGACAATTGACAGTTTGTTTTTTTTATTCACGAGATTCAAAGCATTGTCGGTGATTCAAAGCCTTTAAGGCGTTTCAAATGGAGAAGAATTTTGCTTTTTTCTCCCGCCAGATGTCGCAATCACTATAGCCCGTGGGGAGGCGAGTTCAGAATACATTTCTTAATTTTTACTTTGCGTCGGCTGGCACTGACTTCGAAAATATCTGATTAGGTATCTATTCTAAAATATGAAACCCCCGTTTAGTTATTTTTTTCATTTTAATACCCATAATTTTAACTTCCAGAAGTTGGTTTTTTTTAAGTTTTTATCATTAATTTTATTAACTTTGAAGAGAAATTTTACACGTTAGTAATTTACAGTAGTCTACTTTGAAACTACTCTATAGGAATATTTTTTATTTTTTTATATTTAAAAATATCTAATTGTGGCAGCAATGCTTAATAGGACATGACGTCACCCATCACCAGGTTTCTATTATGACTTAGACACACCATCGATACCTATTTGTAAATTATTTTGGTATCTTTATGGTCATATCAATATCTTTTAAACATTAATGATAATGGAATAATAATAAATAAACTTTATTTGAATGAATATTGTTTTTTTTTTCATCTACCGATTATAGGTCCAAATATACCGATTTTTGTAGGCAACTAACTCTACCGATTTCGCACATTGACGTTCAAGACCACTGTCTCCCATAGAGTATATCGCTACCAGCAATATACTTTAAGATCGCTACGTATATAAACTATAAAGGTTTTCCGTTCTCGTTTTATAGTTCTTTATCTTTCTTGAAACGTTTGTATTTATATATTGATAACAGGACTTATTTCAAAAATGTCAAAAAGGGGGGCTTCTGTTGCTTTTGATGATAATGTAAATGTTAAACAAGCAAAAGAAGGCAAAAAACATTCATTAGATTCTGATGAAGAGGATAGTGCTGAGGAAGAAGAGAAACGCAATGTACTAAATGCCGATGACATAGAAGGTGAAGAAGAAGGAGTTGGGGGATTAGAAGGTGAAGTAAGTAGCTCAATTGTGTTAAAATGGCGTAAATTGCTTAGAATTAGGCAAATTGGATATTAATGGTTTTGTTTATTATAGACTAAAAGAATACTTTTTTGAAGTAAAAACTTTCTTAGCCGCGTTGAGTGATTTTTGTTAGGTGGAAACTCATGGGTTCGCGTCACCGACGTGCTAGTGAAATGTTGCGCCAGAGTCCAGACGTGACGCGCAGCGTCATATCTTTTGATTAATAAATACACTATATATATGAGAATGTATATAATTATTGCTCGGAGGGCCAATACCAGACTAATAATAATTTCAATTTATAAATTATGAAATTTTAATTCTTCTTACTTAAATTAATTTAAAAATAAAAATAAAACAGTTATTCCTAAGTTAAAAGTTTTCACTTCTATCAGCACCAGCAGTCCTCATGGCTGCCAATTTTTTTATTATTTTGACATGCACTATTGTACGAGTAGGTAGGAATATTTGTTAATGGAGTAAGATAACCTTTTATAAATGTTAAAATAAAGTATTTTTAACTTTACTTTTAATTTACAGAATTTATAAATTTCTACTCTATTCCAGGTTAAAATTACTCCTTTCAATATGAAAGAGGAATTGGAAGAAGGCCATTTTGATGCACAAGGACATTATCACTGGAAAAAAGAAAAAGAAATAAGGGATGGATGGCTTGATAATATTGATTGGGTTAAAATAAAGGGAAAACCTGAGGATAAATACAAAATTTTTAAGGAAGATACAGATAATAATACTTCAGATGACTCAGATTCTGGTGAAGAGAATGATATGACTGAAAAATATGATATAATTTCTAACTATAAAGAAATCTTACAGCATATGAAACCAAAAGAGAGTATTGCAAAATGTTTACAGCGGCTTGGTAAGATTTTCAAAATCTTTTTGAGCAAACATTAACAAAATTCATAATTTAAAATGTTAATTAATTATTGAAGTGTATCATCTCTTTTTGTAAATTTATCTTAAATATTAGATCTACATAACTTATTCAAATTACTCTTAGGGATGCTTCCAATTCGGCTTGTTACTTGTACAATAGAAAAGTCACACTATTTACACAACATTCTCAAATCATAGTTTTAATGATATTCATTATATTGTGTTCCAGGGAACAGTTCTAAAATTTCAAGTGCTGAACGTTGGAAAAGAAAGAAAGCTGGTATTGTTGATGAGAATAGTAAATTTGTTACTAGAATTACAGAGCTTTCAAATCAAATTTTGACAAAAGAAGGAAATATGGATATATATCAAGAAACATATGAAAAAATTCAAGACATTATTTCAAAAGATAAATCTCAAAAAGAGGATCCTCAGTTAGATATGTATGCAGATGACTTTGATGAGAAAGAGAAAAAGTGTATTAATGGGAAAAATCAAGGGACATCACAAAGCCAAACAAATGAAAAATCAACAGAACTAAAGTGGGAATTCAAATGGAATCAAGATAACAATGAAATTTCTGGACCTCACTCTACAGAACAAATGCATAAATGGTCCACAGATGGGTACTTCAAAACTGGAGTTTGGGTTAGAAAACATGGTGAAGATAGTCAGTTTTATAGCTCTAATAGGATTGATTTTGAACTATATATGTAGTTACTTGTATATAAAACATGTTATGTAAAAGTTACAACACTACTTGTTTCTATATTTGATTTACTATATTAAATTGCTATTTACTAAACAATGTTTGTTTAACACGGTGGATTGTAGATTGAAGATCTTAGGTCCATTTAAAATATTATGAAAGAGATTAGATAGACCCTCTTAGCTATAAAAACGAAGTATATTTTATCAATATATATTTTACAATGTATGTATATATATATATATACATTGTAAAAATATAAACCCGACTGCATAAAAGCTATCTAAAAAGATGAAAACAAGTTCACGAAGGAATATAGTATTATGCAGTCGGAGATGCACGTTTTATCCTTGCAGAGAGATGTACATATGTCTCCGACCAATAAATGATTTTTAAATACCTATTCAACAATATCCCACTTGACATAGTTCGTCGATTTTCATATTTTTTTCTTTTTCGCATGGAATCTAGCAGCCCCCACATGTATATATTTTTTATGTCAACTATATATGAACACTTCACTAATGAGACGAATCTAACGATACCTTAATAATTAAAGAAATCCATCCAGTGGTTTGGAAGACGCGCAAAACATAACCCTTTCCTTGCAATCGGGTAATAATATATGAATTTAAATTAACACAACCTTATCTCTTATATGATACCCAAGTAATTATTGATATGTTAAAATCAAAAATTCAAAACAAGACTTTGATCAATGATACTGTTGATCGAAGTCTTGTTTTGAATTTTTAGAAGAAAGTTGTAAGAAACAAGAGTTTGCTTTTTTAATCACCACCATTATAGTTCGTATGACAAATTTATAATATTTTATCTTGCATTTTATTTTTAGTCGAGTGCAATTAGGTTTAAACCTCAGAACCCAGCTATATAGTGTTTTGATTTGGCTGATTTTGTATTTTTTATTGAATTTCTATTACTAAAAAATAAAAAGTTAAACTTTTGAAACCTTTTTCTTTAAGGGTTGTCCCATGAAAATGATGATTCTTCTACTATAGTACATTTCTTTTACAGCTTTATTTATTTTGTCTTTCGTGAATAACTCAGTTTCTATATAAAATATAGTGACTTTAACCTTGCTTCACTTAGGTGCGTCCTTAGGTACGTTATAGATATGAATAGTTATTGCGAGTGTAACATAGAAAAACTTATGCTTTTGCAGATTTTTCTGTAGGCCTTATCAATACGTAAAATTATCTAGTATATTGTTTTGATATATCCTTTAAGGTTTAGCCAGCGTAAGACATGTAAATGTCTAAGAACGATTCGTTATAACCAGTTCTTTCTTGTTTTCCCGTGGAAATGAAAGATTTTCCTGTAGTAAAAGGTGGAGATCCGAGTAATAAGTTATCACTACACAAAATTGAGTTAAAATCAGTTCAGTACGTTTTGCGTGAAAGACGCACATCCATTTCGCTAAATTACTTTTTATTATATGACATGATATTGTAAACTTTTTTGTAGTTCTATTTAAGACCTATAATTTTCCAGTACCTACATTGTTTTGATATATCTCTCATATAGTTTAGTCAGTTAGCCCAAAAAAATCTAAGGACGACTTGATAATATAAAGATTTCCCTGTAGTAAAAGGTATCCTACATATTGACCCGAGTAATAAGTTATCACTACACATTTAGTTAAAATCGGTTCAGTACTTTTTGTGTGAAACGCACACATCAATCTCGCTAAGTTACCTACTACACCTATTGTCTATACATATAATAAAATTGTAATTAAGCCGAATCTGTACATTAGATATTTTTTGGAAAATCCTATTGAAATAAACATTATTATCGATACAGAAGCCGAATCTATTGTTTTTAGAATTTTTGTCTGTCTGTCTGCCTGTTACCGCATCACAGAAAAACCACTGGAGGGATTTTGATGAGGTATGGTGATAGCTGGTTATCCGGGTCAACATATAGGATACTTTTTACCGCGGGGAATTCTCATTTCTGAGAAAAAATACAAAAACTACAATGTAAGAGTAGACTAATATGTAAAACCTAATTTGGCCATCTGAACGCGGGCGGAGCCGCGGGCAATGCTAGTTTATAAATAAAAATAAATATTGCGAGTGTACTTAATAATGCTATTGTTGACTTTTTTGTAGGTATTTTTAAGAGCTATAATATTCTTGTACATTATTTTTAAATATTTTAGCTAGCCAAATAAATTTCTAAGAGCGACTTGATAGAACCTTGTTGATAATATATATTTTTTAACTTATTATTTTTTGCGAAATATTATTAAATTATTATAAAAGTTACTACGTATGCAAATATATTTTTAGGTATTAAATTGAAATCTTTACTCTTTAAACATTTTTTCCCCCTTGTCTCTAGTCATTTTTCAGTAAATTGTTGTTATAAATTGCTATAATCAAGATCGCAGAAAAAAAATTTTTACTTTTTTATTTGAGTTTTTACAATGCAGTCAAAAGTTTTTAATGAAAATTCATTGACTGTCCCTGCAATCCGAGATTTTACAATTTATATCATAATATATGCCTTTACGGCGCTCCACTATTTACTGTATTGGCTGTTTTGTCATTTATGTTATTCTTAGCATTAGTTGAGAATGGCTGGATGGTATTGATTGGTAATTGTTATTTTAATACTTTAACAATATGGAACATGGTTAATTTTTGTTGCAATAACATATTTGGGTAAAAGAAAATTTTTAAACAAATGTCAATAGATGGCATAATATGTATAATGTACCTACCGACACAGATCATTCATCATTTATTAGCTAGTAGCTACCGATTTGTTATTGAAGTTTACCTACCCTACCCCAGCCTGCAAATTTATGATATTCGCAATGAAAAAAATACTAATCGATAGATTTTTAATAGCTCAATTCAACTACGTAGCCCTTCCAAATTGCTCACCATCTATATATATAAAAGAAAGTCGTGTTAGTTACTTCGCTTATAACTCAAGAACGGCTGAACCGATTTAGCTGAAAATTGGCAGGGAGGTAGTTTAGAGCCAGGAGAAGGACATAGGATACTTTTTATCCCGTTCGACCGCGTTCCAATTTTTATGATATTTTAATTTTTGGATTTCTCTTAGTCCGGAATAGGTAAGTATTAAAACATATAATTAAAATGTGAGAAAGAAAGATTTTTTCTTTTTATATCTATTTAAAACGTACCTAGCGACGAACCCGAGCGAAGCGAGGGTGAGCCGCTAGTTAATTATAAAATTAAAAATCAATAAAGTCCTTGAAAAAAAATTCATTTATCCGTATATTCAAATTTCTATATCTTTTGATATATACAATATTTTAAATTGCTCAAAGTTCTAAAATACTGCTCAAGTTGCATTTGTAATTGCTCAAGTAGAGTTCTCACCAGCTCCACTTTCCTTAATTATTAAATAAATATAAATAGTTTGAATAAATTTAACGTATAGATAGGTGAGTGCTGCGCATGCGCGCAAACAGTAACGCGAGTCGCAAGGCAAAAAAATCAAGTGTTTCATAACCTCATCATAGTGAAATGAAACTGTAATACTCCAAGCACAACATCATCTATTATCAGGTATTTTTATTATTTATTGACTTATTCATTATGTTTAATTTATACAAAAATCAAATCACGACTAAAAGGTAACTTTATTTTGTAACTTTATGTCTGTTTATGTCTTAATCTGTTGGTATTAATTTTCATTTATTGGTAGATTCCAGATCTGTTCTTTATGTTATAATATCTGAAGTGGAATCACGTAATGTGAACAATTCATAAATTCAATAAATTTAAAGAAATCCACCGAGAAACAGAATTAAGACGTTGAATTGGAACGATTGTCCAAGCCCGCCGAGGCCGACCGACAATGCGCGGTGCGCATGCGCACGCTCGCTTAACCTACGTTACATTTATTACAACTATACTTTTAATTATTTAATAATCAGCGAAAGTGGAGCTGGTAAAAACTCTACTTGAGCAATTAAAAATGCAACTTGAGCAGTGTTTTAGAACTTTGAGCAATTTGAAATATTGTATACATCAAAAGATATAGGAGTTTGAATATACAGATAAATTAATTTTTTTTCAAAGACTTTATTGATTTTTAATTAAATAATTAAAGGTGAGCAATTTGAAAGGGCTACGTAGTTAAATTGAGCTATTGAAAATCTATCGATTAGTATTTTTTTCATTGCAAATATCATAAATTTGCAGGCTGGGGTAGGGTAGGTTTGAAGTTTAGTGTAAAATTAAGAAAAGATAAGAAATATACCCCAAAAATGAATTTTTGATTATAATAACACCTCTTTTGTAAAGGAGAAGGAAATAATGCACTCGTAAATCGATTTTATATAATTTTACTGAATAGATATTGAACATTCAAATTTAATCATTTAAGTAATGGGTTTGTACTTTGTAGTGCAAACTCTTTTATATATTCTTTGGTAGTGCATATTTACAAATGGCGTTTCTACAAGTTTAACCACAAACTGTGAAGTTAGTTCATAGTTGTTACTTGTTACCATGGATGACAAATAAAGCCTGGCGTCAACTACAGCAGAAACACGTCGAATCGAGGCGAGTCGACTCGAGTCGCATTTATTCCTGGTGCGCCGACTTCAGCCGAATCGAATCGAATTGCTCATTGATCGCAACTCGTCAGCAAACTAGGTCGTGAATGCGCTCCGATCTTTTTAACTCTAAAGTGTAGTATAAATCTATAGAGATAGATAAAATTGAAGTGTCTATTTGTAATCTCAAAATAACATTTTTTTACTAAATGAACATGAAACTATATACGCTACATATAAGAAAAACATTTTTATTTTTGTCTGTCTGACTTTCACTGGATAGCTGATGTTATATGGAGTAACTTAGGCTATCTACCTACTTTTATTTTAGAAAAAACTTTTTAACAAAAAAATAAAAACCGACTTCAAACAAAAGCACTAAAAAGTAAAAAATAACTGATTGGTAGTTTTCATTTACTATACATACCTAATCAAATATTTTCGAAGTCGGTGTGCTTTGTTTTGTATGGGCTGGCACTGATTTCGAAAATATTTGATTAGGTATGTATTTAATAGGTAGGCTTTAATTACTTAGCCAAAGCACACCGACTTCGAAAATATTTGATTAGGTATGTATAGTAAATGAAAACTACCAATCAGTTATTTTTTACTTTTTAGTGCTTTTGCTTGAAGTCGGTTTTTATTTTTTTGTTAAAAAGTTTTTATTTTTCCCTTTTTAGTGTAGACAGTAGTAGCAAAGTAAGGATTCTAACGTGTTAGGCTTGTAAAATCAAACAAAATAAGCCCAAACTCAAAGTATCAACTATTAGCCGTTGAAGAGTTCCACCTATCCACCTTGCCATCAGATCAGGTCAACAACACCGAATCACTGTACTATCAACGGAAATAGAAATACTTGCAAAGTTTCAAGTCAATATGACAATGAGAAGTAGGTTAAATTCATCATTAGTTGTTTTTCCACCCTTAGGGGTGGTATTTTTTTTTGAAATTTAAATGGGACCAATCTGGAAGTATACCCTTTCAATCAAAACAAAAATTTTCCAAATCGGTTAATAAATGACGGAGTTCTGAGGTAACAAACATAAAAAAAAAAAAAAAAACATACAGTCGAATTGAGAACTTCCTCCTTTTTGAAGTCGGTTGAAAAGTATTAGGATTCCGCTAAAAAAATTAAAACGTGCTTAGTAACGAACACGAGCGAAGTGAGGGTAAATCTTTAAGTAAGCAGTATAATAGTATAGTTATACTATAACATAATAGTTAATTATTGTTTCTTTTCACGGAACATAGGTACTCTTTAAATAAAATACAAAAAACTCGCCGGTTCGCATGCGACTCCCCGCGTCGATTAAGGCGCGCCGAATCTTGTATATATATACAAGAATTGCTCGTTTAAAGATATAGGATATATAAAATATATATCGTCGATATTATAAATTATATAATAAACTAGCGACTCAGTCCGCTTCTCTTGGATTCGTCCCTAGCTTGCTTCCTAATACAAATTTTCATCTCCCTTAAGGGATGATTTCTGGGATAAAAACTATCCTATGTCCTTCCCAGGGTCTCAAATTATCTTCTTACCTTTCATCTAAAGCAGTTCAGTAGATCCAGAGCTTAGAGTAAACATATGCTATAGAGCGCGCGTATCGCTCATTGTCCATTATGCGAAACGTAATCAGATATTCTATACCTTAGAGTCCATCCATGCTTAGAGTATACATTTATGACATTAGAGTTACAATCAAATTCAAAACTTTATACTTTATAGCCTTCGCGGGTCATTTGTTATATTTGCGCAGCTCACCGCGCAATTTGCAAAACAATCATCCGAGTTATAACGTGTGGATTTTTAATAAAAATTATAGTAAAATACAGAATAGCCCTTACTTTAAAAACATGCACCCATAAATCTCGAAAATATGCAACTGTAATTAAAATTCGGATGGATTTCTTATGAGAGAGAAACATTGAGGTTATTATAAAACTATTGAAATATGCTACAAACGACTAAAAATAAGAAATTATATTATTTTTTCTGTAGTGATTAACCTTCATCAGGCACCGAATCAGAGAGTAATAGTCAAAATTCATGTTATATAATGGAATTTAATACATCAAAATTTGTTGGACCAAAAAACTAATTTTATAACGTGATTGTACACTTGTTTGTATTTCAATAGTGGCAAAGAATACTAACAATAAATATTCATACGTTTACGGCACAAGTCCACTAGTTCAAAGATTTAAGATTTTAAATTACATAAAAATCATAGACAATCGCGCGCGCTTCACTTGCAATTTAAACAATTTTTGATGCGTTTATCTTCAACGTTGTCGGCACTTAATTAAAATTTAATTTTTTTATATACTTCATAAAACTTCTAAAGTTTGCGTGTATCACTCATTTAGCATAAAATAAACTGATTTGGTCTTGTAATCTATACAAATATTATAAAGAGGTAAAGTTTGTGAGTTCGTGACGTTGTAGGGGGTAATCTCTGGATCTACTGAGCCGATTAAGATGAAATTTGGTAAGAAGATAGTTTGAGACTCTGGGAAGGACATAGGATTTTTATCCCGGAAATCATTCTTTAAGGGAGTGAAAATGGAAATTAAAATTTGTATTAGGAAGCAAGCTAGTGACGAACCCGAGCGAAGCGAGGGTGAGTCGCTAGTAAGTGATAAAAGTGCAGCGGGCGAGGTGGTGCCTATAGGCACCAGCGTGGTTTGACGGTAACTCCAGAATTGGTGCCTATAGGCACCAGCGGGGTTCCAGTGGTTAATTATTTTATGTGCAAACATTAGCACAGGCTATATATAATATAACTTTTGTCCCCTTTTATCTGAAATATACAACACACAACATAAAATAAGAGGAAGGTAGCTAAAATCGTTAGATAATACAAATAAACTTGTATATTATTGTGAATAATAAATTAAATTTATCAATAGCGGAAACTGCGTCACTTTTAATTATTAAAGGCTGGCCACATTCTCTCTTGATTTTTCTAAAATTTCATGTCAGGGCACTAGCTGTGGCAATATGGCTGTAGCTTTCGAGTTTCGCTGGTAGTGTGCGGTGCTCTAATCATTTTCAGTACAGAACAGAGTATTTCCGACGGATCTAAAGTTTCATTTTTAATTTTTTAGTGATTCTTGTTTCTGTTTACCTTGTTTTTACTAAATATTTGTTGCAAATTTTTTGATTTTTTGTATCCGTCGTCACCAGAATTCACGCGACGACAAAATGGCGTCGCTTGACAAGATTTTACTGCAAAAGATATTTTTCAATTTTATTGGTTTTATATAAATTAATTTAAAAAAATGTCACAACAAGTGCTTAAATGTTTTTATATTAAATGAATTGAAAACTTTTTAAATATTTCTATTCGGTATTATTTAGGATACAGTGTATTCGTTAAAATTTCTGCAAAATGCTCTTGGTAAGTGTTTTAAAAGCTTTTTCAGCATTGTTTTAGTGTATAATTCTTTATTATTAATGTTTTAGGGCTTTAAATAAGTGGTGAATGTTCTAGAAGCTGTGGGTGTGGCCGTATATAATGAAGAAATTTTAAGACGTAATAGTGAATAATTTGCTTTCTACGATTGTTTACAATAGATTTTTGTGTTTTTATGTATTAAAATTTATTTGTTCCACTCAATTAAGCGTTTCCATCGTTTCTTTGTTACGTAATCTTGCATTAGAGGCCATGCAAAGTGTTTTTGGAAAGGGACCCATTTTTGCAATTTAGCTTTGAAAATTGGTCTTACTTAGTAGTGTCCTAGTTGAGAGAAGCATTTGAGGTTATGTTTTCAATATTTTTTTCAATATTACAGTAATTTGTCCTTTTTGTCCTAAAATAAGCTGTGGCTTTCTCAGTGATATTTTTTAATTATTTTGATTGAAATTTCTTGAAAAAACACACTAAATATGTTATGAACATTGAATATTTAAAGTATGTGCCATATTATATATAGGAATTTTAAATCCTACAGTAGTTTCTACCTACATTTAAATTTTTGTATGTCCTTTCTTATTATCAGCCCTTGTTTACATCAAAAATTAATTAAATTTTGCTAAAGATTCTTGTGGAAACTATCATGTCTTAGCCTTTGTTTATAGTATCTATATATTAGTACGAAATTCTTTGATATCTTTGTTTTAATGTTAACAACTGCTTTTGGCAAATAAATACATAATTAATAATAATAATGCATATTTTTCATTTAATATATGGAATTCATATTTTTTTTAATTTTAAGAAGCCTGCTAAAAATTCTTGAATGGGTGTATAATTGCACATTTTTTTATATTCTATTTATTTTATGATGGTATTTTAAAATGTTTTTGTCATCTTGATTGCATGGTAAATATATGAATTGTAATAAGATTTAATGTAATATTTTTCTTTGTTACAGAAGGGCTCTATGAATGAATCTGGCAGCGATTCAATGAGTGAAAAAGGAGAGAAAAGTGATTCTAGTGGTTCAGGTTCAGGAAGTGAGAGGTAATTATTACAGGTTTTTCGAATATTCTTTAACATAATAATTCATTTTATTTAATTTGTCTATCTTTATGAACAGTGACAGTGGTTCAAGTTCCTCTGGGTCGGGGTCAGCAGGCAGGTCAGGATCAGAGAAGTCTTCAAATGTTGATAGATCCCATCTAAGTGATGATACAAAATCTCCAAAACATAGTAATGCTAATTCTTCAAAATCTGATCACCAAACAGATAAAGATTCTTCTGATGACTCAATCACAAAGCGTAAATCTAGAAATCATCATGGTAAAGTCAAATCAGACCTCTGGGAAGATAACCCTGACATGTTTGGTATTAGAAGATCAGGACGTTCAAGAAAAGAGCCAGACAGACTTAAGCTTGCTGATAGTGATTCTAGTGAAAAAGGAAGAAGTCACAATAGAAAAAGTAGAAAAAAGAGGTACTATTTATATACAATATTTTTTATCAAATTATATTAATTATACCATATTTTTATTTCTCATTCATTTTTTTAATTATTGTTTTTTGTAATTTTAGTAACTCTTGGAATTCAGATACCTCAGATAGTGATAGTGATTTAAAAGGTTCCCCACCTCCACCGTCAAAACGACCAGGCCAAAGAAGTGTACCTTTAAGAAAAAAGAAACCTTCAAGACGAAGAAGATTTACAAGTGATGAAGATGAAAGTTCGGAGGCTTCAGATGAAGAAACTAGGAGGTAATGTAGAGGTTTGAATTCAATTGCTACTATTATTGTATTATAGAATAATGCATAACTTTAAACTATTTCTTTTGAGATATAGAGAAGGTGGAGAAATAACCTGACTCTGTTCCTCATTTCTGATAGCAGTTTTGTTGTTCATCGTCATCATCAGACTTAGGCAAGCATCTGTATAATTCATAAAATATTTAATGCCCTCTGGCATCAAACTCGTGACAACAGCAGATAGATTTAACCATAATGGCTGTTATAAGTGGAATTTTTAGTAGTATAAATGTATGTTTATAAATCATCTACCTCACTTTTAATAATCCATTCTTGTAGTATGCCTCGATGGTGTAGTGGCTAGCAAGTACGGCTGCACACTCGGAGGTCCTGGGTTCGAGTCCCGGGCGGGTCAAGTTTAGTTATTGAGTCTTTCTGTATAGTAAGCCTCAGTAACAGCCCGGAGTTGGGAAGTTGGCGGTGTTTCACCGCCGTGCCTCGGAGAGCACGTAAAGCCGTCGGTCCTGCGCCGACACTCTCACTGGTCGTGTCGAGTAGTCCCACCGGAGTATGAGAGTGCACGTTGTGTCTGCGCGTACACTTGTGCACTATAATATCTCCTGTGCAGTTGGCTAGTCTCAATGAGATTGGCCGTTGTGGCCGGAATCGGCCAGGAGAGTATCACTTGTAGTATTTGGTCTTTTTGGCTCATTGGTGAACATTTTTTTAATATTAGGAAATGTGGGTTAGAAAAGCTATTACTACCCACTAAAACTTAACAGAACTTTTCCCGTTTAAATGGAATTGCTTACGCACTCATCCATGAGTCACGACCTCCCGAATGGGTATACTTAGGTAGTCCACACGAATCAAGGAGTTGCTCCCATGGTCAATTCTTCTATCAGAGTGTATCTTTAGAGAAGTAAAAGAAGTACTAGGAGCAACACGCATGGTACAACATCTACTGAGGTGGGCCACCTCCAAAGTGACCTTCTTGGCTTTCCCATTATGGCCATTTGTAAGGATCATAAGATCCTGGGTTCGAGTTCCAGGTCAGGCTAATATATTAACTGTTTTTTTTTACGAAATACTCATAGCAGACTGGAGTTGTGAACCTGGCGGTGATACACTTCCGTGCTTCAAAAACCACGTAAGGCCGGTCTTGTGTCTCATGTATTTTTGTCCCATTATCGTCCCACCATCATGAGGGTCTTCCGTGAATCACGTGATGTTTTTTTAGCAACTTTGTAAGTCAAAGTTTCCAAATTTTAATTTCTTAATAATGTATTCTGTAATTTGAACTAATAATTGTGAGATATCAAAGGATTTTGTTAAAGTTTATCTTAAACTTATTTATGAAATCAGCATTTCAACTATGATATATTATATATATATATATATATATATTATACCAAATTGACACAGACCAAAAAATGTCAAGCGCAAGTCGGACTCGTACACAAAGGGTTCCGTACCATGATTGATATTCTTTATTTGCATGGCAGTCTTTTTGAAATTCGCCATCTTGGTTTTTTATCAATATATTTGTTATAGTAAAATATACGTAATAATAAACATACCAAATTTCAAGTTCATAGGTCAATGGGAAGTTAAAAAAATCTTCAGAACAAAATTTTGTAAAAAAAAGCTGACTTTGTTGGTTTCTTATTCCTTTGTTTTGTATTTTTTTAAACCAAATACAGTATTTATCCACTTGACGACCTCCAAACAACGATAGCGTACCCGATGGGATAGGTCAAAATTTTTTTTTTTCCTGCCCCATTTAGCTATATGGGAGCACCCCCCTAAAAGCATTTAAAAATATTTTTTGCATGGCTTTGGGTCATCAAGATGCTTATACTGTAAAAATTTAACAGACAACGGATAGACGATCGGATGTAACAGTAATAGGGCTCCGGGCTTTGATTCATCTTCTAAGACGCAGAAGAACAGACAATTATTTAAAAAACGGTTCTTTCAATTATCCTTAACCTACATTACTATATCATCACAGTAAAAGGTATATTTTCCATTGATATATCCAGATGACCAAAAACCAAATTGTTAGGTTTTACATATTAGTATAATCTTACATTGCAGTTTTTATATTTTTTCTCAGAAATGAGATATTTTCCCGCGGTAAAAAGTATCCTATATGTTGACCCGGATAACCAGCTATTACTATACAATATAATACAAATTCCATTAAAATCCCTCCAGTGGTTTTTCTGTGATGCGGTAACAGACAGACAGACACACTGACAGACAGACAGACAGACAAAACTTCTAAAAACTATAGATTCGGCCTCTGTATCAATAATAATGTTTATTTCAATAAGATTTTCCAAAATATATTTAATGTACAGATTCGGCTCAGAATTTTATTATATGTATAGATTTTTGAATACAAGTATCCAAAATTTTGTCCTGAGCTTTTCATTTTAATGAAATATAAAGTGATATTTCTATTTTTATATATTTAATAATTGCAAGTAAAGCTTTTTAAGTGCATCTTACTTAGCCGAAAAATCTGTTTAAATAAATAGTACTAAATTATTTTTATGATATTACTAAGCGACACACCCTTGCTTCGCTATGGAAACCGTACATCATCCGGGATGATATATAGCGTAAAGCCTTCCTCAATAAACGGGCTATCTAATGCAAAAATAATTTTTTAAATCGGATTAGTAGTTCTTGAGATTAGCGCGTTCAATCCAACAAACTCTGCCTCTATACGTATATTAGTATTTACAGCAAAAAAAAAAAAACAAATCGGATTAGTAGGTCCTGAGATTAGTGCGTTCAAACAAACAAACTCTGCCTCTTTGCAATATTAGTATAGATTATAATTATTGTTGATTACAGTTGATTCATTATCGCATCTGTGTAGGGAATTAACTGTCAAATACACAAGTCAGGCGCCATTTTGAAGAACTCATTTTTCAAGATGGCGACCATGAATCATTCATGAATCAAATGAATTTATTTTGACGTCACGCGTACAAAACTAATGTACATAATGACGACTGATGTAAACTTGCTCATAATGATCTTAATATTTTGTTGTTTGTTTATTACACTTATAATAAATTAATATCAATATTTAGTTGAAGTATTTTACTGCTATACTAAAGGTTTTTATTATATAATATAATAATTATAATGTAGCTTGGATCCATATTGAAACCGATCAAAATTCCTGATAAGGTCAATACAATATTTTATTATATTCAATAGAATAGTAAAATAAAATATTCCTATTCTCGTGTTTATCAAATTTATAAATATGGAAAAGAAAATAAGGTAATAAGTAATTTTTAGAATTCTAAAAATTACTTATTACCTTATTTTTGGAAGAGATTACTAAGCAATTTTTTAAAATGTCAACTATCAAGCTTAATTCTCGTGAGTTAGCTACGTTTTGACGAGGCACTCAACTTTTTTATCTACGAAAATAAAATAATAGGTGAATTAAAATTTAAGATACAGTAGCTACAGTTGTAAAATATGTCGAATGAACTGGAAAAACGTCAAAATCGAAATTGTAGGATACTGTGACCATGAAATCATGCAAATATTATGTAACTCTAACATAGATGATGTCTAATCGTCTAAGTATAATCGTAGCCTTTACATTTATTACGACTTTATCGTCATATATGAAATTTGGCTAATTTTTAAGTCCTCCAGGTAAATTTCTAAGAAATTAATTAAATTGCTAAGAAATCTATTCTTAACTGTAACGCCGGCGTGTCAGCGGTCGTGGATGGATTAATGATTATACATAACTTATATGCCATATTTAATATACAAAGTAAATATTTAACATCAGACGATCGAATGCACAATACCTAGCTAAGTAGTTTATAACAGATTGTAATGATGATGAAATGAATATCGATACGTTGTTGATGTTACAAATCTATAAAAATGTTTTTATTTTATTTTTTCTTTCAAAAATAAAAACGAATAATTTTATATTACAAAAACTTAACTTTGGAAGCGTCTATATAATTGGTCCGTGGGGAAGTAGGTACCGCCGGTTCGGAATGCAGTCCTGATAATAGCGGGTGAAAAACTAACAGTTGCTCTATTTTCAGGTTATTATAGATTTGAATATGATTAAATAATATTACATATATTTGTATAAAAGATATGCTATTATTCTAAACCAAACCAGACAATTAAATGTGCTCGATTTTTTATAAAACTTATTTTTATATAAGAAGAGATTCACTTCCTTGCCCTTTGATGATCATTTAGATTTTAGATGTTATATAGTTTATTTATATAAATCCGGGGTTTTAATTATCGGTATTATAAACGATGTAAGGCACAATTATGACTATTTTATATTTATTCAATAGTTTTTTTATTATTTCATTAATAAGTATTTTTTTATATAATCAAAGTATTTATTAGTAAATTTTGTTTTGCAGTCGAACAGCTACGCGGCGAACGGGAGCTGCAGTAAGCTATAAGGAGGCCAGTGATGAACAAACCGATTCTTCAGATTTAGTAGATGGAGTTGATGGTGAGGGCGAAGCTGAGCCAGAGCCAGAAGACCACAGTGAGACTATTGAAAGGGTTCTTGGCATCAGAAGAGGGAAGAAAGGAGGTATGTTGCTTAAGCATTAATTTTCATTTTTTCTTTTGATTAATACTTATTTTGCAATAATGTTTTTAAATTATAACTGAAGTTTACAAAAATATACCTACTATCCATACTAATATAATATTATAAATGTGAAAGTGTGTTTGTTTGTTTGCTGTCTTTCTTTCACGTCGAAACGGAGTGACAGATTGACGTAATTTTTTGTGTGGGCGTAATTAAAGGGCTTGAGAGAGACATAGGCTACTTTTTACCGCGGGAGACAATCTCATTCCCACGGGAAAATACGTTATAAACTTATAATACTACCCAAAAAAATATTCACGATCAGAATTACTTGGAACTTGGTATTAATGCTCTTCAGTACAATTAAATAAATATGTGTTTTAGCATTTTTCGAAATTCATCCCATAAGGGTGTAAAATAGAGGGTGTAATTTATATTGCTAAAATTAAGTTAAATTTTCCACCTGTAAATTGAGCATATTTTAGTGTTTACTAAAAAAGAAGATCATTCTTTGGTGGGCATAACAAAGTAACACTGATATTTTTTAGGTTTTCACTTTTTTACATGCTTACACAATTGTAAGGTTTTCTATAAATATTCCTGTTTCAAAATAAGTTAGTTATAATGTAGTTTTGTTGTGCAATGTAGTGTTAAATTTTAGCTAATGTCTTCTTATTATTGTTCAGTCACTGGAAATGTGACTACAGTTTATTATATCGAAGAGCATGGAGATCCTAATGAAGGTTGTGATCCTAATGATGAAGAAGCAACCGAACCGCAGTACCTGATTAAATGGAAAGGATGGTCCCACATCCATAATACTTGGGAGTCTGAGAAGTCACTCAATGAACAAAAAGTTAAAGGCTTAAAAAAATTGGAAAACTATATTAAAAAAGAGGCCGATTTGTCCTGGTGGAGGCAACAAGCTGGCCCTGAGGATATAGATTATTTCGAATGTCAATCTGAATTACAGCAGGAATTAGTCAAAACCTACAATAATGTGGAAAGGATAATAGGTAATTATTTTAACTCAGTTTTTTTTTATTGTAATTTCTATAGTTTTATATAACTTATTTCTTTGTTTAAAATGTTTTCTTTGGGACTTGTTCTATATAGTCTTATTATTAGTTATACACTTCCATTTTAAGATTTGTTGAATCTCAAAAGATTACTGTTAAGTACAACTTTTTAAAATGTAAGTATAAGAAATATAAACATATGCATAACAATATTTTATTTTTATTTAAGCTGAACAAACACGGGAATTGGAAGGTGGTGGAACTGCTCATGAATACTTCTGCAAATGGGAATCGTTGCCATATGCAGATGCGACATGGGAAGACTCCTCACTTATTGAAAAAAGATGGCCGGTGGAAGTTGAACATTTTAAAAGCAGGGAGGCTGCGAAAACGACACCTTCCAGACATTGCCCTGCTTTAAAAAGGCGGCCCAAATTTCACCAAGTTAAGGAGCAGCCTGAATATCTGGGCAAAGATCAGGTACTTATTTAAACTACAATTGCAAAATTAAAAGATTCACATCACTAATCACTTATTTTTAGACAAATATCATTTAACAATTTTTTCTTGTAATTCTTTCTTTGAAAATTTTTAAGAAAAATAAAAGAGCATTATTTTCCTATTTTTAGACCTTTATATTACGAGATTATCAAATGGATGGATTAAATTGGTTAATACATTCCTGGTGTAAAGACAATTCTGTTATACTTGCTGATGAAATGGGTTTAGGGAAAACTATACAGGTAATTATATTCATATATATTTTATGTAAAATAATTTAGTTGCATTGTAATACAATTTAATAAAGTATACATATTTTTGCAGACAATAAGTTTCCTATATTATCTTTTCAAATCACAACAACTATATGGACCTTTTCTTTGCGTGGTACCACTTAGTACGATGACGGCATGGCAAAGGGAGTTCGTGCAATGGGCGCCTGATATTAACGTAGTCACGTATATTGGCGATGTAACTAGCAGAAATATTGTAAGTACACATTCATAAATATGATATTATAACTTTATAATTTTTTCATTTAATTGGACAATAATAATTATGATGATTTATATTGTATAACTTTGTTTTCACAGATCAGACAATTTGAATGGAGTTTTGCTACTTCAAAAAGACTAAAATTTAATGCAATACTAACAACTTATGAGATTTTATTGAAAGATAGACAATTTCTAAGATCTTTCAGCTGGGCCTGTCTACTAGTTGACGAAGCTCACAGATTAAAGAATGATGATTCTCTTCTGTACAAAGCCCTTAAAGAGTTCGATACAAATCATAGGCTACTTGTTACTGGTACACCATTACAAAACTCGCTTAAGGAGCTATGGGCACTTCTACATTTTATAATGCCTTACAAGTAAGTATATGTTTGTTTGAAAAGTAATTTCTTAAATAAACAATGATAATTTTTGAAACTTTATTTCAAAGTTTGAAACTAAAAAGGGTGGTATTTCAGATTTGAATCATGGGAGGAATTTGAAAAGGATCATGAAGATGCAGCAACTAAAGGATATGAAAAATTACATAAACAGCTGGAACCCTTCATATTGAGGAGGCAAAAGAAAGATGTAGAGAAATCTCTACCAGCTAAAGTAGAGCAGATTTTAAGGGTGGAAATGACCTCAATTCAAAAGCAATACTACAAGTGGATTCTTACAAAAAATTATAGTGCCTTGCGAAAGGGTGTGAAAGGATCTATTAATACATTTATTAATATTGTTATTGAACTGAAAAAATGTTGTAATCACGCACTTTTAACGAAACCTGAGGACTTCGAATCTCGAGCGTCACTGGCTACCACTGATGCTGTTGAGGTATTGACTAAATTTTATTAAACTACTACTTTTACTTTATTAAAAAAATACACATTAATTAACTCTTGACTAAAGATTTATTTGTATCAATAAAAAACTATTTATTCTAATAAAAAATATTTTTACTAATAATTATTGTTCTAGAAACTTCTAAGAGGCTCTGGGAAATTACTACTTTTAGACAAATTGTTATGTAGATTAAAAGAAACGGGACATAGAGTGCTTATATTTTCTCAAATGGTCAGAATGTTGGATATATTAGCTGAGTATTTGCAAAGGAGGCATTTTCCGTTTCAACGGCTTGATGGAAGTATAAAGGGAGAAATACGGAAGCAGGCTTTGGACCATTTCAATGCAGAAGGATCTACAGATTTTTGCTTCTTGTTATCTACGCGCGCTGGAGGTCTCGGTATAAACTTGGCAACAGCTGATACTGTGATAATTTTTGATTCAGATTGGAACCCTCAAAATGATTTGCAAGCACAAGCTCGCGCTCATCGTATAGGGCAAAAGAATCAGGTAATTATAATTTTAAAATGACTTGACTTTCTTGCTGACTTTATCTTGATAAAAATGAATATTTTTTTTTACTATTATTTTAATGTTTTTTATATTTAAAATGAAAGTACCTTTTATAAAGTATAATTCTAATTAAACATACTTCTTTAGGTCAATATTTATAGACTGGTTACTGCTAGATCAGTAGAAGAAGATATAGTAGAGAGGGCCAAAAGAAAGATGGTTCTGGACCACCTTGTAATCCAGCGTATGGACACGACGGGGCGGACTGTACTCAACAAGCGAGACGGATCAGGCACAAGTGCAAATAATCCATTCAATAAAGAAGACTTAAATGCAATATTAAAGTTTGGTGCTGAAGAACTTTTTAAAGATGATGAAGAAAATGATGAGGAACCTGTCGTAAGTATCATTTGTTAACAAATATAATATATAGTTAACAAAACTGACTAGCCAAAAACATACGTGAATTTAGATTGGGTTTATATTTTTAAATTATCACTTAACTTTAAAATGTAGTATTTTTGTTTTCTGAACTTTTCATATTATATGTATATTTTTATTTTAACCTCCCTCTTCTTTCTACCCCATTTTTTATGAATATTCAAATGTCAATTCAATATTTATCTATTTACAGTGTGATATTGATGAAATTTTACAAAGAGCAGAAACAAGAGATGAAGGCCCCTCAATGGCTGGAGATGAGCTACTTTCTGCTTTCAAAGTTGCAAGTTTTGCATTTGATGAAGAAAAAGCTGTCATGGAAGTAAAAAAAGAAGGAGTTGAAGAGGAAGGAAAGGACTGGGTAAATTATAACACTTTCTTAGATTTACGCGAACATTTGACATTTTAAATAAAACTATCTTTTCGGATTATTTCACGGATTTATTTAGATTTTTGGATCCCGACGCTTCAAATGTTTTACAGCAATCACGGTCACGGGAGAGAATTTTTTTCTTGAGAGATTTACATGTCTCAAAGGCGTTATGTTATATACTTGTTACAGACAGTGCCTGCCCACAATTTTACAAACATGATTTCAAAAATTCAAGACTGATACCAAAATACCTTACAATATGTGTTGATTTTAATTCTAAACATTTAATTTTAGCTGTTATTATTATAAATATTACAATTTATAAAAAAAACTTTATTAATTAATAATATTATTTAGTGTTGCTATTGCTTCCTTTATAAACCAAAACATTAATCAGAATTACTGTTATTCGTCGGGAACCAAAAATCAAACGAAATCCGCGAAATAATCCGAAAAGATATTTTTATTTAAAATGGGTAAATTATGTTGTCTTAGTTATTTTGCAAGAGTGAATGATTTACATGACAGAGTGTAAATAAGATACTATTCCTATACTACTATATAACTGTCCTACTACACTACTATTATATAACTAATTTTTCTTTCAGGATGATATAATACCTGAAAATGTAAAGAAGGCAATAGCTGAGCAGGAGAAAAATAAAGAAATGGAAGATTTGTACTTGCCACCACGAAGAAAGAATATGCAGCAGAACAATGCTGATGAAAGTAAGTTTTGTCATCTTAAACTTTCTTCACCACACAAAATTTAAATTACTATCATATTATTAATTTATTAAGATTTAATTTCCAATGAACGAATTGAAGTGAATTTTGAAAAAGTTATATGTGAAATTTAGCTATTCTTTCATTTGTACTATTTACAATAATAATATAAAGAGGTAAAACTTGTAAGTTTGTATGTAGGGGGTGTAATTTCAGAAACTACTGATTCGATTCTGAATATCCTTTTCTTTTACTAATAGAAAGTTATATTACTCCCGAGTGGTGAAAGTAGTGTTTACTGTCAGAAATCATAGTAACTTTAATTGTAGTCGCAAAAAAATAGCCATTCGAGTTTACTTTATCGGCTATTTCAAGGCACCTAAGGATAAGCATATACTTTAAAATACTTAAACACCAAATGTAATCATTATTTGACGACACGTTTGGCTCAGTTTGTAGTGACCCTACTTTCTGTGCCAGCGGTTGCGGGTCCTGCTGCGTGCATTCATTTGTGTGATGAGCACGAATGTTTGTACTCCAGTCATGGGTGTATATATATATAATATGTATGTATTTAAAAGTTATATATGTGTAATGTATCAACTATCTGGTATCCATAACACAAGCCTCGTAGCTTACCACGGAACTAGATGGTGTGTGTTATGGTATGGTATGGTATGTTCGGGCTGTTTTCCGCAACTCGACGACTATGCGCCTATTTTGCGTGTATGGTGTGTGTTAATGGCCCAACATATTTATTTATTATTATCCAGGTGGTAGAAAGCGTCGCGGTCGCGGCACCAGCGTGGGCGCGGACGGCGCGGACGGCGAGGGCGACGCGGAGAGCGACGGTTCCGACGCGGACATGAGCGCGGACGACGACCGCCCGCGCAAGAGGGGCCGCCCGCCCGCCTCGCACAGGGAGAAGATTAAGGGATTCACTGATCAAGAAGTTAGTATTGCATTTTGTTTTAATAATATTTAATAGCTATTTTAATTGTCTTATTACAATATATTATTTCATTTGTTGTTGCTGTGCATTGATTCTTTTTTTTTTGATTATCGAGAAATATTTGAAGTCATTAAAGTCAAAGAATAGTTTACTCTTTTGTGTCTGTTTAATCATGCATAAAGAAAAATATAAGTGACACTTAAGTTGTTGTAGTAATACAATCTTCATCTTAAATAGAATCAATGGTATATACGCTGGAACTACAACTGGGGGTAGCAATCTAATGGCCGATTTCACCAACTTCACCTAAGTTAAATCCCCTAAGCATGGTTAGGGGGCTATTAGGGGACAGTTTCTGTTTCACCGACAGTTATCGGTCACCCAAATGTTAAAATGCCACTTAATAAATATAAGCACTAGAAATAGGGGCTCTGACGATAGTAAAACGAAATTTAATTTAGGGTCTAGTTTAGAGGAACTTTTAAGCTAGGGGTCCCATACATAGGTGGTAGCTTAAGTGATGTAGGTGAAATCGGGCATAAATCACCTATAAAATATACTTATACATTTTGATATAAAATTATGCTATTATTTTTTCAGATCCGGAGATTTGTTAAGAGTTACAAGAAGTTCTCTGCTCCTTTAAAACATCTCGATAGTATTGCATGTGATGCTGAACTCCAAGAAAAACCATTGGCTGATCTCAAGAAATTGGGTGAAATTCTACAAGAAAGATGTAAAACTGTGTTGAATGACACTTCTGAAACTCACAGTATGTTTATCATATATCTGGTTATTTATGTTCATTGTTGATCCTATATATGTAATTAATTTCTTGATATTATGTGAATATTTTATCTTTCTAGATGAACCAAATGATGGTCGTAAAAATGCGAGAAAAACCTTTAAACTTGGTGGCGTGCCTGTGAATGCCAAAACGATGGCAGCATGTCAGGATGAGCTTGCACCGTTAGATGAATTCTTACCACAAACTAAAGAAGAAAGACTAAAATGGCAACTAGACTTTAGGTAATCTTACAACAAATATAACAAAATAAAATGCTATTCGACTTAAATACTTATTTAATACACATTTATTGATAAAAAACTGCATATAAAAATATTAATTTATGATCTTTTTACTTTAAAGGACAAGGCCTGCTAATTTCGATGTCGAGTGGGGAGTAGAAGACGACTCGAAATTGCTAGCTGGCATTTACCAATACGGCATGGGGTCATGGGAGGCTATTAAAATGGATTCGTCATTTGGTATTGGCGACAAGATCCTTACTAACGAAGATAAAAAACCACAAGCTAAGCATTTGCAATCGAGAGCAGAATATTTACTAAAACTTATAAAAAAATTGTTGGATCAGAAAAATGGTAAACAAAAACAACGTAAGCCTAGAATGAAGAAGGGAGCTAAGGAACCAGTAACAAAGGATATTGTGGAAGATGATATGACTTCTGGAGACGATAAGAAGAAACATCTAAAGAATGATAAGGTTAATATTAATGCATATAATCAGAATCTGATCTGCATCTTGTTAAAATTATCGCTGATTTTGAATAAAACTACCTTTTCGGATTTTTTCGCGGATTTTTTTTGATTTGAATTTTGATTGATTTGATTTTGGATCAAAATAAATCTGCGAAAAAATCCAGAGATTGTTTTAATTAAAATGTCTAATGTAAGTAAATCTAAGAAAGTATTATCACTTATAATGATAATACTATCTTAGACAAATTATACGATTCTTTTTTGACGACACTCAGCGGTCGCGGGTCCCGCTGGGGCCATTCATTTGTGTGATGAGCACGAATGCTTGTACTCTAGTCATGGATGTTTATATTTATAATATGTATGTATTTAAAGTTACATACATGTAGTGAATTTATGGATTTTCCTTTAACAATATTTGTTTCTGTAGGGCAAATCAAAATTGGAAGATGTTTTAACGCATGATGAAACATCTAATGATAGAAAGGAAAAAGACAAGAAGCGCACAAAGAAAGAGGGCAAAGATCGACCCAAAAATGATAAAGTAAAGGGACGTAAAAAGCCTGCTGGTCCCATGCATTTTACTGCTAACAATGAGCCCAGAGCATTAGAAGTTTTAGGGGATTTAGATCCCTCTGTATTTGAAGAGGTATGTATGACAGCGCAAAAGCTTATAAATTTTGTTTACACTTAATTTTTAGTAATCCATTAATATACTCATCATTTTTATCTTATTTACTTATCAACAAACAATATTAATCGATTTGATTTGTCAGTTTTGAAACAAAAAACTAAAACTCTTTTCTGTTTTATTATAAGCTTACAGCTACATATATTTATAATAATAATAATTTTTAGTGTAAAGAAAAGATGAGACCTGTTAAAAAAGCACTTAGAGCCCTGGACAATCCTGATCAAACTCTGTCAGAATCTGAACAAGTGTCGAAAACGAGAGCTTGCCTTACTCAAATAGGAAATCAAATAGATATTTGTTTGTCGGAATATCCTGACGCCGAAAAGAAAGTTGAATGGAGGAGTAATCTCTGGTATTTTGTGTCAAAATTCACGAATTTCGATGCCAAGCAGTTGTATAGGTTATATAAATATGGCCTTAAGAAAAATGTAGAAAATAAGAGGGATGGAAAACATAAAGAAAATAAAGTATGTTGAATTCTTATTTATTTCTTGTTATTGCTTGAAGTGTTATATTATAATTTTTTATAATATTCTTTTTATTTTTAGTCAAATTTGAAGAATAATATAAACAATTCAAATAATCATGTAAAATCACATAAAAAAGAGTCAAAACACGATGATAATGATCGGAAAGAGAAAAGGCCAAAGGTGGATAAGGACAAATTAGATAAAAGCAATGAGAAGACACCTCATGCATCTGGGGTTAAGAGAAAGTTAGAGGAAGGCGAATGTGACCCTGAACCCAATGAAAACAAAAGACATGAAAGGTAAGTTTTTTATCACAATCGCCTATTAAAACATTGTCCATCGAGTGCACTCATTCCTCGCTTTTTATTTTTACGTTTTATTAACACATTTTATATGATTTCTTTACTTTTCGCCTTTGCTAACTTTTCCTTTCATCACCATCTCGCTTATTCCATATCAGCAGACATAAACACAAGCACAAGGATCGCAGAGATAGGGAAGGAAGCTTGAAGCGAGACGATTTGATGTACAGAGAGCGGAGCCGGCCGGAGCGGGAGAGGGAGCGCGATCGGGATCGCGACCGGGAGCGAGACCGGGATCGGGAGCGAGACCGGGACCGTGACCGAGAGCGGGAACGAGACCGAGACCGGGAGCGGTCGCGCACGCGCCGAGACAGCGGCGGCGTGGGTCCGCCGCGCGTGCGCCCTCCCTACGCGCCGCACGCCCACGCGGAGCACGCCGCGCACGCGGCGCACCCGGCGCACCCCGCGTGGACGCCGCCCGCCTACCCTGGCCCACGCCAGTACCGAGGCGACCGGAACGCTCGCCCACATGATAAGAGACGGTGTGCATTTATTTTATATTTTTATTTCTTAAAGTTTATAATTAGTCTACTTTAGTAAGTATGTATTATAAATTAAAGTCATTTGCCGCGCCGAGTTTGTTTGAGCTAATTGCAGTAATTACTGAATGGATTTTATACAATTGTCATCAATAGAAGAATGATCTAGCAAGTTTGAGCTATAACTTTTTAAGAATACCAGTGGCGTCTAGGAAGAGAATCTGGGACAGCTCCCGAGAGAAGCGTAGGTGTGTTAGTACTTTATCATAAAAGAATAGTAGCATAGTACCAATATTTATTATTAGCTTATGGTTTTTGAATTATAAAAATATGCAATTGTTAAACAGTTTCGGAGGTTACGCGGGCATGGGCGGGCACACGGCGTACAGCGGGTACTACGAGGGCGCGGCGATGCCGGGCGGCATGGGCTTCCCGCCCGTGCGGCCGTACCCCGAGGACTGGCGCGGCTACGCGGCGCAGCCCGACTACCCCTACGACGAGCGCGACTACGAGCGCGAGGTGTACCGGCGCGACTACGACCGCCGCGCGCCCCCCACCTAGCTGCGCGGCGAAAACCTTCTCTGTAAATATAGCTTGTAACTTATAATACATATGTAAATAGCCCGTAGACTTATCTTCTCCTTCCGTGGACGCCGTAAAGTGTAAGTGACAAACAGTGCTGTGGTTTTATCTTAAGTGATAAGCGAAAAGGATCGTCGATTTCGAATTAAGACGTTCAATAATATCGTGACTGTGTTTTGTAAGTGAGACTGTATAGTAAATTTATTTATTACCGAGTCTGTCGATTATTTGTTAATGTACAGATTTTAGACAAATAATATTATTTTTTTTATATTGTTCCAATTTTATTGCCAATTTTACCTGTTTAATTAAAATAGTATTCTCATTCTGCTATTACTCGATTTTCAATTTATTTAATGCCTCAATTAGGAGTTTAATTTCACAGAGACACAGGTGATATGCGTAGTTGATAGTCATTGTACAAAATTCAGCAATTATAAGCAGCAACTTTGCATATTTAAAGAAATCATGTGCAATCTAGAACATTTGTATAGCTTGAAGAGTGGCACATATACTTTGTCATTGCATTTTAGCAGTGTAAAGGAAAAGTTTGATTTGTATTTCCTTTCTCATTATACGTGCATTTCTGAGTCCTAGTGGGACTCGTACAGTCCTATTTTTATACAATATGTAAAGTCTTATTCTCTGTTACACGCAATTGACTGTAATAAGAGTGAAAGCGTCTTGGTGTATACCACGATAATAAACATATTATTAAAGTTGACTTTGTTTTTCATTTTTTAACCTGCTTTATTACTATTAACACTTGGTTGGTGTTGGTGTTGCCATTCAATTATAACTATACCTCATTGTATAAGTACTGTCTGGTACAAATAATGTCATAAAGTATAGACAACGGCAAAATCACAAATGATATATGCGTGAAATATGCACAGATGATATATGGAGATACTATGCGTGAAATCTAGTGTGGATTGGACTGCTCTGCTGTCGCCGGACGCGCCAGGTACCTCGTTTATTTCATACTAGCGGCTCTCCCTCGCTTCGCTCAGGTTCGCCTTTAGAAGAACAAAAACATCAATCCCACGGGAACCGTACATTTTTTCAGGATAAAAAGTAGGTTGTGTTATTCTGATGTATGAGCTATAATATTGTTGTTTCATCAAAATCCATTCGATAGTTTTTGCGTGAAAGAGTAGCCAATACCCATACATCTATAGATTAGTGATGTAACGAATGTCCGATTTTTCACATTCGCGAATGCGAATATTCATCTCCAATATTCGCGAATACGAATGCGAATGTTGATTTTCAAAGAAAGCGTGCGCAAAATGTCAAACAGATAGGTTTGACATTTCGTGTGGGCCATGTTTAAACCGAACATAGCTGAGCCGATACAGGTTGAATCGTTCATTCAACCTGTATCGGCTAGTTATTCACATAGAGTTCTTTCGAAAAGATTTGTCGTGCACATCACAAAAGTTAGTAGGTTAGTTTAGTATTATTGCATTTGTCAAATATAAGTAATACCTAGTCAAATTGACAGTGATATAAAAAAATCATGAGTAAAGCACATTTGTATTTTCATTTGTCCGTTCATTCCTTATATAATTAATTTCCTTTTTGTTTGTCAAATACATTCGCCAAGCATTCGCATTGTTTCTTGCGAATACGAATGCAATTGTAAAAAATATGCGAATATTCGTTACATCACTATACATCCAGACATTCATACATCCTCACAAACTTTCGCATCTATAATATTAATAGGATGTTTTCATATATTTTTTTGAAAGATTAGGTTATAGTTCCCCGAATAGGTGTCGTCCTTGTTTACACTACTTGTACACTGGTGGTACAGAGGTAGACGTACACATTGAACCCAAACCATAAAAAATTCAGACAGTTGTCACTCCAAATCGGCCCTAAAAACTTTCAAAGTAGGTAATTTACAAAATTTATTATCAAAAAGTCATTAACCAGGATAATAGTTTTTATTTGGCTTACTTACTAAAAGTTGAATGTACTTTTAGGTTTTATCTGGCTGTCTGTATTTTTTTTATACATTTTGCATGATTGTGATTTTGTTGGTGTTGCCTTTCAACGACCCAAAATAGATTAAGAATGGATGTTATATGTATTTATTTTTTATATATAAGCTTAATATTTTAACCCTGAGTGTCAGACTCAATCTTATGTTATACCTAAGATGGCTCAATCAATAGGCTTCGTCACAAATCTCACAACCGAATCGTGTTACCCCTTATGCACTCATTGCAATACTGAGGCCCTTGCGTAGGATAACTATATCGCGCTCAGTTTAAATGCAGTCATACCAGTATTAAAACCCATATGGAAGGCGACTGCTTATCGATTTTAACGGAAATGCTGCACAAATCCATGGCGATCAATTTCAAGTAGAAAGTTACAGTTAAACCCTTGGAGAGTTATCAAAATGTCATATAAAAGTATGACAGTTGACAGTCTTCAGACTACAGAAATCTTTTTTTGCATTTGAAAAATCTTAATTAGTTTTTGAGATATGTACAAAAAACTTAATCCTATTTTTTATTTTTAGTTTATTGCTTATAACTTTAGCAATTTTTGCAAGCGGAATTTGATTTTTTCAAAAACCATCTATATGCCATTCCGAATCGAATGATACCTCGTTTATATTTTTTCGAGACTGCTGAAAAAAGTTGACCTAAAAGGCACTTGTTGACTAGACTAATAAGTACTAAATGAAAGATGTTTTTAATGTACCTATTAATATTTTGGCTCTTGACTGTCAGACCCTGTAAGGCAAAAAATATATACGAGTACCTAGACGCTAACTCTTATATTAAACATGAAAAAATGATTAAGCTCAAAACGTGTTATCTTAAAAGTACCTACATTTATAATCTACGTTATTTTATCGTGTTACATGGAGCTTAGGATATTGACACACTTCAATAGACCACTTGAGCAGGGTGGTCTGCCTTATCACACATCTCGAAGTATGTAGCGATTGAACCTTTGCAAAATAAATAATGCTACAAAGTTATTTGTGGGCAAATTTGTTTCTACACAGGTTTGCTTTTTACACTATTATAAATAGGTAATGTTTTGTTCAAGTATTTGAGCTTAAAATCCCACGGATATACAGAACCTTTTTACTACCAACCATTTTTAATTTATTGAAAGAAGCTGTGAGTATCATACGTTGGACAAAAAAATTTTTTCTTAATAATGATGTACGTTGTTGACAAAGTATGAAGTTCTGAAAAGCTTTCTATTAATTAGGTATATCTTTTGGTGAAACTATGTAGATATTTATTTAATTGAATATGGAATGTGTTCTGCGTATATGTAAATAATAATGCGAAAGTTTGTAAGTGAATGAGCGAGAGAGGGAATAAGTGTCTGTGTGTTTGTTACATTTTTACCAAATGTATCGTGGGATTTGAATTATATCGGAATAGGCGTATCTTATATCTTCGATTTTTAACCCCCGACGCAAAAACGACGGTGAGTTTGTTATAAGTTTGACGTGTCTGTGTGTGTGTGTGTGTTTGTCTGTGGCATCGTTGCTCCTGAACGGATGAACTGATTTTGATTTTGTTTGAAAGATTAATTAGTCGGGAGTATTCTTAGCTACGTTTGATGAAAATCGGCCCAAAATGGTTGATTTTTTTAAAAATTTTATTTATCACATTAATCAACGAACCTGCAATGCAAGCGCGGTCATAAGTAAAAACTAGTTTAAGTGAGTGAATGAAGGGCTTTCCCACTTACTAAACGAACTATTTATTATAAACGTTTATATCACACTTTAAATTCTATTTTGTTTGCTGTTTTTATATAATAAGTCCAGCAAAGATGCTGTAAAATCTAATACACGCCCAACGTCGATTAGTTAATCGATCCCGACTGATTTGGGCGACCGTATATTCAGACACACCATATTTTATATTAAAATTATAAAAAAAAACCTTTTTGGTTCTAAATTTTTATAAATGATTTGTCTCAATATTTATTACAAAAAGTAAGCAAAATTGTGTAATGAAAAAAAAAACATTTTAAACCTTTGGATTTTTTTTACTGAGCAAAGTATATTACTATTATATGTTACATTTGGATGAATGATTCTTGTTAAAAAAAAACTTGTTTGGAAACAAACAAGCAAAAGAGCTAGTGGTATGATTCATTCGTAATTCGTACTTTTCTGTGTAACTATTACATATCTGATTAGATATTAGAGATGATATGTTGATACTTAGAGCTTCTTAAGCTTAATAAGGATATCTCAAAACATAAATCATATTATTATATTGTAATTATATCGTGAATGCAAGTTGTAGGTAAGCATATATTTTTACGACCACTGGGTCATTACTGTAGTGAATAAACTATTTATAGATAACTGTACTTACTATAAAAAAATAATTTATGTATCTAGATATAATAATATTGAGTAGAGCTTGCAGCTTTGCTCGTTTGCCTTTTTCAGTTCAAATTTTTTAATCCAAATCCACTTATATGATCTCTGCTTGATAGGTCATAGGCAGGACGGTTCAAGTTGTAGTTATGTCTGTATCTGATTGAAGAATATCCTCTGAGCACAAAACGATGTTACTATATTAGAATTGTTTTAAAAGTGCCTATTTTATTTATTATAGATTATAACACAGCGCCCGTGGGTAGTTAAAGGTAGTTTTAACTTTATATATAATGTTTAAGGTATCCCTAGACATTAGAAAATCTTAAAATATTAAATGGGTAATTTTTGTATATATAATAATATGTTATTGTTGTATTTATTTCGTGTATCTCGGAAATGGTTCTAAAGATTTGGCTCAAATTTTGTATTTAGATAAGGTTTTGCCTTTAAGTCTACCTATATAAGTTCATCTCAAAAATACGAGATTAAAAAAAAAGAACGCCGAACAAAGCTTGGTCGCCTATTAATCATTCGATATGCGATATCTAATATAGATACCTACTATAGTAATACTATCTATTAATACTCCTATTCCATTAGGTATAGCATTAAGTTATGTTGTAATAACATAACTCAATTAATTTATTTTTATAAATTCTTTTCCATATTGCATTATCTTTCCAGTAAAATATAAGTGTTTGATATTGACTAAAACATTGCAGTCCATTCACAACTCTGAACTTATAGATTAAATCCTTCTCAATGAACGGCGCGGGGACGACTGCGCATGTCCTGAAATCAGGTACCTAAAGGTTTCACACTTCAGTCGAGTACTTTCATGTTAGAGGATATTAGCCAGTTAGAAGATGTAGAATTTTAGAAGTGAATTATAGTGATTATATGAAATATAACCAATATTACACGTAGTTCTTTATTCGGTAAGTAAAAGCAATCAATATCTACCTATTAGTATTCCTTAATTAGATTAATTCAGTTCGTAGCCAATGTTATTGATTCGCAAAGTTTCGATACACCCAATAGATCTTTTAATAGAACGGAATTTAATAAGCATTGACCTAAAATTAATAATTATTGTGTTTAATACTTAATTAGATAAATAATTGAAGTATTTTTATTTTAAATACCCTAATGAAAATTCTTTGAGAGTTAAAAAAATTGCTGGATTTCAGGTTTGTTTTTATAATGTTAGGCATTCAATTATAAAAAGCTTAATTTAATAAAAGGTAATATGTTGTCTATAATTAATATCGAAGGTAATCTAATAATATTAAGGTAGCTAAAGAATTTTATTGATCCTTACTTTGTTTTAATTTGGCTTTTAAAAATTTTAAACAACTATAATATTATTTAACTGTTCATATTTTGTATAACCTTTTTAAATATACTTTTTTCTAATGATTACCTATCTCAAGGATTGTCCTATACCTAATGTTTTTAAGAAAAAAAAAACACTCGTATAACGATGAAATAATTAAATTTAAAGTAAATTTGATATCGGTGTACTTTTTAATTTAAAATGTATCTAATCTTATTCCAAAATAAAAATTATAAGTATGCACCATGTATGTAAGCACCTACAATTTGCACTCGCCAATTTTCCAGGTATATATGGTCTGGCGTGCGACATGACATGTACTAGCATACTGGAGTGCTAGAACAACGATGTTAACTATACCAGCGACGCTGACCCTGTTAGTTGCAACCGCATTTGCTTGTTACCTATTTCCAAGTGGTAGGTAATAGCAATTTAAACTTATTTGAAAATTAAAGTGCCTGCCTGTGATTTTTTATGACTGCACACATTGAGCTTATGGAATGGTCTACTTATTTTTTTTGTCTGTCTGTTTGTTCCTACCCGATCTCCCGACTCTTTATGCCTTTATAAAAGAAAAAGTTTACACAAATTTTTGTTTACATATAATTATTGTGGACATATAATACAGCACACAATATTAAAATTTCTCTTGCGAACGATTGTAAAATAAAGAGTAAAAGTTGCGGACTTTATTAGTACTTACCAAATATGAAAGTAAAAAGTTATGGAGCTGTATGTATATAATGCTGACCGAGTTAAAATTTATTTACTTACTTAATCATGATTAACAAGCTTTCGTGACCATACCAGATTTTTGTGTAAACCAATATTTAATCAATTTAACGCTCATTTATGTTCCATGCTTAAAAAGCAGAACAAATTGATATTTACATAGATTTTATGAACCCTTTAATATTCTGTACTTATATTAAGTACTAACGGCTAATACTTTCTTAGATTTACGCGAATATTTGACATTTTAAATAAAACTATCTTTTCGGATTTTGTCGCGGATTTATTTGCATTTTTGTTTCCCGACGTTTCGAATGCTTTACAGCATCCATGGTCACGGGAGAGACTGAGGTATTACATGTCTTGGAGGTATAGTTGTTACAGACAGCCTACCCACAATTAACAAAATGAAAATTGCACCAATTACATTACAATATTTTTTAAACTTTAAACATTTTTATAATTTTAATTATAATTGAATATGGAATATTATTTATTTATTTTTTGCTATTATCTTTTTTTTTATAATTATTACAATACTACTAACGGCTAAATAAAAAGTAAGGACATTTCGGTTAGATTCTAAAATTAATATTTTATATGCAGCAAATATTTGTATCGTAGATTATAGTTTTCATTGTTGCAGCTAATTGATGTGCATATTGTGGCAGACGTGCCGGATCCGTGTCGGGGAGTGACCTGCGGTTTCGGCGAGCAGTGTCGGCCTACAGCGGACGCAAAGAGTTACAACTGCGAATGTCCGGCTTCTTGTCCGAGTTATGGAGACCATGAAGGATCGCGACCCCTTTGCGCGAGCGACGCGAGGGACTATCCAGGGGTCTGCGAGATGCGACGCGCTGCATGCGAAACTAACACGAATATAACTTTCAAATACTTTGGTAAATGTGGTAGGTACCACTTCAGTTTAAATTTAATAAAAAGCAGTGACTCTTCTTACTTTCGGGTCCCTATGTGTCTTTTTTCTATATATTTTATTGTATAACTAGCATTGCCCACGGCTCCGTCCGCGTTCAGATGATCAAAAACCAAATTAATATACTCTAACAATGCAGTTTTTGTATTTTTTCTCAGAAATGAGATATTATCCCGCGGTAAAAAGTATCCTATATGTTGACCCGGATAACCAGCTATCACCATATCAAATTTCATCAAAATCTGTCTAGTAATTTTCTTGTGATGCGGTAACAGACAGACAGACACAAATTCTAAAAACTATAGATTCGGCCTCTGCATCGGTAATAATGACTATATCAATAAGATTTTCCAAAAAATATTTAATGTACAGATTCGGCTTAGTTACAATTTGATTATATGTATAGGTTTCAAACGTTATATATTCTTTATTGCACTAAACAAGTAATAAAAAAATACATAGAAAATGACGTGGACAAAGGTGGACTTATCTCTATATGAGATCTCTTCCAGTCAACCCATGTATGTGGGAAATAGTGTTAAGTAGCGGGACAGAAAGAGAAAGTGCAGAGAAACGATAAGAAAATATATGAGAATAATCATAAGTAAAACAAAACGTTTAGGTAGCTCATGCCGAAAAAAGCAACTCTCATTCACAACGGCCAATTTTATTCCGACTTTAATTAAAGCTATTATGACTTCTGACATTAAAACATTTTTATCAGACTAAAGCAGCCTATATCATTCGGCGGTAACTGGGCTTTCTATTAGTGAAAGAATTGTCAGAATCGGTTCAGTAGTTTCAGAGATTAATTATCCTTTATAAACATTTACCTCTTTTTAATATTAGTGTACATATATTAAGATTTGTGTTAAATATTCTAATAATTGTTAATAGATCCTTGTGCTGGAGTAACCTGTCCTGATCCAGAAGTGTGCCAACTCGATGATGGACGCCAGCCTTCCTGTCGTTGTGCCGAGCCCTGCCCTCTTGAGTTTTCACCGGTGTGCGCATCCGATGGAAAAACTTATTCCAACGAATGTCAAATGCATAGAGAGTCATGTCGTGCTAGAAAACAATTGAAGATCATTTTCAAAGGACAGTGCAGTTCAGGTAAGATTTTGTCCAAATCAAAGTATCTAAAAAAATGCAGAAATTTGAGCATCATTTTTATTTTACTTACGTATAAAATATATCGGATGTGAAAGTGTTCATATAATAACTGTGCCGCTCAGTAACTAGGTTTGTCAAACATCCGCGAACCGAATGATTAATGTATTTGCGCATACACGCTGCTGTTTTAGTAGTATACAGACAGACAGGTACATGATTATGTTCTGTAATTGTTACTACCGAATCAGCAGTTAAGCTATCATGTGAAATATTTCTTTGATGTGTATTCCAGAGTAGCATAGTTATAATATGATTACTATTATAAACACAAAAGTTTGTATGTGTTTGTGTATGTTTGTTACTCATTCACGTCGAAACGGCTGGGTTTGATTAATGTCACTACACAGAATACCACTACACACATACAGGTGGCTATGTGAGACTCACCGGCTAGAAAAACTAGTATTACTATCCCATCGGAATATACCCATCGGTACTTCCCCCGTCTTAATGAAGGATTCTTAATAAATTATACAGATAAATAAAATCGAAGTGTCTGTTTGTAATGTCAAAATAACAGCGTTTTACTAAATGCATATGAAATTATATATGGTACTTATAAGAAAAACACAGTTTTTAATTTTTTATCTGTTTGTCTGTCTGTTTGTTCCGGATAATCTCTGAAACGACTGGGCCTATTTTGACGGGACTTTCACTGGAAGATAGCTGATGTTATAGGGAGTAACGTAGGCTACTTTTATTTTAGAAAAAGAATTAGGGATCCGCTCAAAAAAATTGAAACCTACCTACCTTGGGAGAACCCGAGCGAAGCGAGGGTGAGTCGCTAGTAATTAATAAAACAACAACCATGGGGACATGCGGGTAAGTATCAGGAGCAACCCACATGATACATCTTGGTTCGGGCCGCCTCCCAGTGCGTTTCTTCTCTTTGGCTGGATAGCCGAATGTTAATAAAGGTGGCTTTTGATTAAAATACTTATTCTAGGTGTAAACCCGTGTGCTGAAGTAGAGTGCCGCCACGGGGCCGAGTGCCGGGTGGAGGGCAGCGGCGCGGTGTGCGCGTGCCCGCCGCCGTGCGCGCCGGTGCTGCGGCCGGTGTGCGGCTCCGACGCCCGCACACATGATAGCGAATGCGAATTGAAACGAGCCGCTTGCCTTCTAGGGCGAGAGCTGAAAGTTGTTCACGCAGGCGCTTGTGGTAACATTTAATTGATTATATAATATGTATACATGTATTTCTCATAAATTTACATTCTAAATTCCAGATTTTATATTGCTTTAAAAAGTTATGGTATTGTTCCATGCAGCTATAGATATATGCGATATATCATAAACAGGGTAGCCGAAGAGAATATTTATTATGTAGAATGACATGCCATATCATACTTACACATTACTTTTCAACCGACTTGAAAAAGGAGGAGGTTCTCAATTCGACTGTATGTTTTTTTTTTTTTTTATGTTTGTTACCTCAGAACTCCGTCATTTATTAACCGATTTGGACAATTTTTGTTTTGTTTGAAAGGGTATACTTCCAGATTGGTCCCATTTAAATTTAAAAAAAAATACCACCCCTAAGGGTGGAAAAACAACTAATGATGAATTTAACCTACTTCTAATTGTCATATTGACTTGAAACTTTGCAAGTATTTCTATTTCCGTTGATAGTACAGTGGTTCGGTGTTGTTGACATGATCTGATGGCAAGGCCAGAAAGTGGATAGGTGGAACTCTTCAACGGCTAATAGTAGATGCTTTGAGTTTGGGCTTATTTTGTTTGATTTGATAAGCCTAACACGTTAGAATCCTTACTTTGCTACTACTGTCTACAATAAAAAAGGAAAAATAAAGACTTTTTAACAAAAAAATAAAAACCGACTTCAAACAAAAGCATTAAAAAGTAAAAAATAACTGATTGGTAGTTTTCATTTACTATACATACCTAATCAAATATATTCGAAGTCGATGTGCTTTGGCTAAGTAATTAAAGCCTATCTATTAAATACATACCTAATCAAATATTTTCGAAATCGGTGCCAGCCCATACAAAGCAAAGCACACCGACTTCGAAAATATTTGATTAGGTATGTATAGTAAATGAAAACTACCAATCAGTTATTTTTTACTTTTTAGTGCTTTTGTTTGAAGTCGGTTTTTATTTTTTTGTTAAAAAGTTTTGTTATTATTATTGTTTTCATATTAATTAAAAATGTATGTTATTATGGACCATTAGATGGGTTTAAAAAAAGGAATTCAAAGCTTTCTTTTGTGTTAAAACCGAAAAGTCTCCAAATATTAATGGGATTTTTCTCTCTCTCTCTCTTTTTCTCTTTTTCTCTCTCTCTCTGTACATTAATTGGAAATATTGTAAATATAATAATAATAAATTATTTCATTAAGATAATTTCAGTAAGTATTAAGAAGTAGAAGTTTGAAGAAAATATCGCAGGAACCAATAAACGTAATATGGAAACCAGTTTTTTATGGCTTGTTTGTTTCCATGGCTTGTGATAAAGTACGATAAACGAGGCTTTATAGAGCGATGGAGATATGCAACTGTGTATTAATTAAACACTTAAGATTAAATACATTAATTTGTTTAACGTCGTAATGTTTACGAGATATAAAATTTCTATGACATTAAAAAGATATATTGCCTTGCCTTGAAATTAGTAATGGACCCAATAAGCAGACGTTGTCCTGTGATAGTTTTGGGAAGCTGACATTTTGGGATTATATATTAGAAGAAAAAACTGGACCTCGTCAACAGCCCCACCTACTAGAATTAATTATAGCTAAGAATCATCCAGTTAATACTATGACCAAGGAAATATACCTATTCAAATCCGGAGCCCGTTTTCACTTAAGTCCGAATCACACTTGACACATTTTTCTAAAACCAGGTTCGAACGGTGTATGCGCTGGTCGCGTCTGCCCTCACGGCGGCGAATGCGTGTCCACGGGTGGACGCGGCGTGTGTCGCTGTCCTAAATGCTCCAACGAGTTCGCTCCTGTATGTGGCTCTGATGGCATCTCTTATGGGAATAGGTGTAAACTACAACTTGAGGCTTGCCGACATCGACGACACGTGCAAGTGTTGTATGATGGACCTTGTAGTAAGTGTTTTGGTATTTTTTAACACAGATCATTAGGTAATTGAAAATATTTGCCAGGATTAACAGTTAATATAAGCAAGTAGCGTCATATATGAGGACATTTTGAAGTAGTTTTTCATTTTCCATTATATAATGCTGAGTATATTATATGCATCATGATAAGTAATTTAAGGCCAAAATAAATGTTAGCGGACTTGAGCCTATGACCTTAGATGTAGATACTAGCCTGATTTTTATAAAACTTTTATAATTCTAATATATTTATGTATTATGTTTTAGATGGTTGCGAAAATAAGAAATGTGAGTTTTATGCAGTTTGTGAAAGCGATGGAGTCTCTGAAGCCAGTTGCGTTTGTCCAAAACATTGTGAGGATGGAACTGTTAGTAATAACATTTATATCTATTTTGTTTAACTCTGAGTCTTTTTCCTTTCAGTGTGCGCGCTTAGCGTATGTAGCTTGGAAATTCCCGCATGCTACTCGGGTTGGCCGTCGGGGGAGTTCCTTCACCCCTTGACACCTGAGTGTAGTGTGCGATAAATTCCATATAACATAAAAACTGACAAAATTACCAAAAAAATACTCATTCGTATATTTTGAGTACTGAGATGGCTCACTATATTTTCAATGCTACCAGAATTGTTCCCAGCCCCATTCTGGGCTATTATAACTTCCTCCTTCCTCGCACTTGATTGGCACTTCTTTTATTTAATATTTTACTTCATTTTTTTATTTTTTTCTGATTTAATTAATTGCTTACATCCTGGCATCTTCAATTATCTATCCTGGTAAGGCCACCATGTATTGTTGGGTTCAAAGCCAGGTAATGATTAGACTACGACTTTACTATTAGAAGCACGTGCTTAGAATTGCCTCATTTTAACTTAAATAACATCTTATATAAAGTATCATATAAGGCTCAGCGCACACTACAACGGGCCAAGTGGCTCTCGTTGTCGGGGCGTGGACCAAACTGCATACCCGTGCCCCGTTCGATAGGCGATCGAGGAGAAACCATGATTTGATAACGAAATGATGAACTGATGAACTTTTGATAAAACAGTTACGTTAATGCAGTTTTATGATTTTAGGAAACCGAGGAAATTTGTGGAAATGATAATCAGACTTACAGCAGTATTTGCGCACTACGAGACTTAGCTTGTCGGGAAAAGAAACGACTTCACGTTAAGCACATGGGGTCTTGTGGTGAGAATATTCTTATATATGTTATATATTTAAAGATAATTAAAGTATGAATTAAAATAATATTTACTCATACAAAAAATAATTAATGAAAAATAGTTAGTTTTTGCTTTATTAAAATGTGTTATTTAAGACTTTGCTGCCCTCTAAATAAATAAATAAATCCGCTTCTATTTACACTTTAGATGATATATATAAGCTAAATAATAAATGATGACATTTCAAAAGGTTTATAGCAAACATGCAAACTTTTATTTTTATGATCTTATTACCGACCAATCTCGTTTGTGTCTTCTCCCTTCTACATGACATTATAGTGGCGAAGTAATCTGTACTCAACTGGTGTCTGTCACGCTTTGAAGCCTTTAACAAAGAAAATTGAATTGAATTAAAGTTTTTAACCGACTTCCTCAAAAAGGAGGTTCTCAATTCGGCTGTATTTTTTTTTATGTTTGTTACCTCAGAACTCCGTCATTTATTAACCGATTTGGACAATTTTTGTTTTGTTTGAAAGTGTATACTTCCAGGTCCCCCATTTAAATTTCAAAAAAAATACCACTCCTAAGGGTGGAAAAATAGCTAATAATGAATTTAACCTACTTCTAATTGTCATATTAACTTGAAACTTTGCAAGTCTTCCGTTGATAGTACAGTGGTTCGGTATTGTTGACCTGATCTGATGGTAAGTAAGGCCAGAAGGTAGATAGGTGGAACTCTTCAACGGCTAATAGTAGATACTTTGAGTTTGGGCTTATTTTGTTTGATTTGACAAGCGTAACACGTTAGAATTCTTACTTTGTTATTACTGTCTACACTAAAAAGGGAAAAATAAAAACTTTTTAACAAAAAAATAAAAATCGACTTCAAATAAAAGCACTAAAAAGTATAAAATAACTGATTGGTAGTTTTCATTCACTATACATAACTAATTAAATAATTTCGAAGTCGGTGCCAGCCGATACAAAGCAAAGCAATTTTTTGTTAAAAAGTTTTTATTCTTATAGTGTCAAATATTTACGTAAATCAAAGTGTATTAATTCGAGTATATTATCTACTAGCGACTCACTCTCGCGTCGCTCGGGTTCGTCCTTAGGCACATTTTTTTTGAGCGGAACCCTATTTTTTTACGGGAATAAAAGTAGCTAGATTTAGTCCTTATAACATCAACTACCTGTCAGTGAAAGTCCCGTCAAAATCGGCTCAGTCATTTCGGAAATTAGCTGGAACAGACAGACAAAATTTTTAAAAATTGTGTTTTTGTTATAAATACCGTATATAATTCCACATGCATTTAGTAAAACGCTGTTATTTTGACATTATAAACGGACACTTTAATTTTATTTATATATACAGATAATCAATAAGGGTATATCGTACAGAATCATGCGGCGGCGTGCAGTGCCCCGCGGGCATGCGGTGCGCGCGCGGCGCGTGCGCGTGCGCGGCCTGCGCCGGCGCGCCGCGCGAACCCGTGTGCGCCGACAGCGGCCGCACCTTCCCCAGCGAGTGCTCGCTGCTGCGCGCCGCGTGCGAGGCGCGCGCGCGCGGCGGCCCCTCCCCCACAGTGGCGTACTATGGGGAGTGCACCGAAACACACGATGGGAATTTTACTGCTGGTGTTAATGGTAAGTTTGCTGATTTATTATTCACTCGTCATTACGTGATGTGACGTAACGTTAATGAATGAAGTGATGCTAATGAGCACTCTTTGCTGAGAGTGGTGTGCCGGACACATGTACCTACACGTGAAATTTCCTCTTAAGTTTTCCATTACGGGGAATGTTATTGCTGATATTAAAGGTAAGTTGTGTTTGCATTTTTGCATGTACGACGTACTGACTTAATAAGTGTTCTTCGTTACGGATAGCGGCTAAGACACGCATGTGCGAGCATTAAATGACACACACAAACACAAACCATAGAAATTCTGTGCTAGTATTGATACTGAACCGAATGTTTCGTTAGTTAAGGCCAAGTATAAGTATGGCTGGAATCGGTCAGGAAGGTTAATATAATACTCGTAGTTTGTTGTGAAATTGAATATACTGACACATTGAAAAGTGTTAAATCTCAATTCAGTTTTAATCTTGAACTTAGATTAAATAAATAAATCTTAATCGAAATATGTAAATATTTTATTGCAAACGAATATATTTATATTTGTCAAATCGACCACAGGTTCCAACAAATCGGCGAAGTCATCGGATAATAATAATGAAATACGCCCACTGGACGACACGGAGAGTTCTAGCGCGCCGGCCACCGGCACGGCCGTGTGCGCGCGCGTGCAGTGCGCGTACGAGGCGACGTGCGCTGTAGACGTGAGCGGCCAGCCGAGGTGCGCCTGCCTGTTCGACTGCGCGGCGGCGGCGCCCGCGCCCGTCTGTGCGTCGGATCTGAGGATGTATCCCACCTTGTGCCACATGAAGTTAGAGGCGTGTCGTCGGCAGGAGGACTTGCGACTTCGGCCTTTAGCTCTGTGCAGAGGGTTGGAGGTTTGTTGTCTGTTTGATGATAATGATTTAGCTCTTTTATGCCTCACCGGTTATGGGGCTCGATGAATACGGAGTCATCGGGTTAGGTCGTAATCGATCGTGCTATCCGAATCTGAATCAAAGAACTATACAATATACATGTTTAGAAAACTAGATGAGATATCTCAGATATGCTTGTTTTTAAGATGTTTTTACATTTTAAGTATTGATTATGTTGTAGTATTATGTATTCTTGTGTTACGGCATTAAAAAATATATATACCGTGTTGAAAAATAAGAAAATAAATAGTACTTTTTCATTTGTTGTAGTTTCGTCCTTGTGGCGATGATGAACCGCTCATTGATGCAGAAGGCCGCCCTATGGACTGCGGAGGCGGGCCACATCGTAAGGACTGCCCCACTGGTAGCTACTGCCACCATACTGCTAAAGCTGCCAGATGTTGTAGGAAAGGTAGTTATCTATACTAATATTATAAAAAAGTAAACTTTGTGAGTTTGTGATTTTGTCTTTTTGTGAGGTTGTAGGGGGTAATCTATGGATCTACTGAGCCGATTTAGACGAAATTTGGTAAGAATATAGATTGAGACTCTGGGAAGGATATAGGATACTTTTTATCCCGAAAATAATCCCTTAAGGAGGTGAAAACGGCGATGAAAGTATGTTTTGGGAAGCAAGCCAGGGACAAACGCACGCGAAGCGAGGGTGAGTCGCTAGTATACTATATTTTTTACTAACGTATTCTTCATAATTTCATTCTTTTTGTGACAGAGAACTTTATCGATTGCGAAATATTTCATTCAATATTTCTCTATTAACATCCACCAACATTTCAAATAGTATCTTTAATTACATGTAATTAGAGTAAAGACTACTATTTGAAATATAGTTATGCGAGGCGCTCACTTCGCTCGAGTATGTCCCTAGATGACGTTTCAGACTCAGAATTCAATATTAATAAAATATTACTTTTTAATAAAATACCTTTTCAATTGTTAAAAATTATTAAGAAGCTTAGGTGTTTTAGAGTGTCCCCCCCAACGTGCGTTCACCTTGTCGTGGTGGGGGCTCAGTAGTGCCCGGCAATCCAACCGGGCGCGAAGCTAAGAAACGCACAGGGAGGTTGCCCACTTCGGTGGGCGGTGGGAGGTGGCCCTCTTCGGGGGGCGGTGCACCATAGGGGTTGCTCCTGGTACTTCTCTGATAGCAGAGTGGACTGTGGAGCAACCCCATGGTTGTGGTGGTCTGCTTCGGCAGACCTGCCGTCGGGGCGTCGTAGTTGAATGCGTAAGCGATCCTGCGACGCCCCATTAAGACGGGGGAAGGTTTTGTTGGGTTTTAGTGGGTAGTACTGGCTGTATTACACCGGTGAGTCCCACACGTCGTGCGTAAATGCATTTCCCAACGTTAAAAAAAAAAGGTGTTCTAGAGTGTATTGATTACAAACAAATCATTCGATTCGCGTTCGTTGTATAATATTATTATTAGTAACTAGACTAAGCCACTCCACATCCTAAAAATTATCTCTTTTGTTAAACCAAAAAAGTGCTCGTAGTAAAGAAGTAAGAATCATAATTTTCGTTATAGATAAAACAGTGGTAGAAAAGAAAGATTGTCAAGAATCTTGGTACGGATGCTGCGCAGACGGCATGACACCAGCGAGGGGTCCCGGCGGTTCGGGGTGCCCTTCCCAGTGTGGCTGTCATAGACTAGGATCCATTTCAGAACAATGTGATGAAAACGGACAGTGTCAATGTAGACCAGGGGTCGGTGGTGAGAAGTGCGACCGATGTGAACCCGGCTATTGGGGCTTGCCGAGAATAGGAACGGGGCATGCTGGGTGTATACGTAAGTAATAGCTATGCAGATGAAGCGAATTAAATTGTTTTACTCTTATTTTTCTTTAATATTAAAATTTTTATATTTCTAATATGTAGTACCTAATCGCAAAGAAAGATTATACAAAATCCTTATTCTGTTCCCTTCTTATTTAAAAAAAAATAGATTCATATGTCTCAAGATAAAAACTGATACATCAATCAAAAAAGTACTAAATACACAATCAGCGACAAAAAATGTCCTCACCGAATGACCACTCACTCGAACATTTGAGCGCGCTTTTAATTATTTTGTGAAAAGGATTTTAAGCATTGGAATTTAAGGTCCAATTTACATTGTTGTTATTTATTTCAATTAGAATAATAACCTAAAGACAATTAGTGACAGTTCTAAGAGAACTTTTGCATGGGATTGTATATCATCTAGTACTTTTATGATCGATGAACTGGTACAAGTGGTTTATTTTTCCAATAGCATGCGGTTGCTCAGCTTTTGGCTCAGTGCGAGAGGATTGTGAACAGATGACTGGTCGCTGTGTTTGCAAATCTGGTATACAAGGGCAGAAGTGTACCGTCTGCTCAAACCACGAACACACCCTTGGTCCGAATGGTTGTTTCGATCGTAAGTGTACTTAAGTGTAAATAAATACAATAAATGATACATATACATAATTTGAATTTTAGTGCACGAATATACTGTGTTCTGTTTTCACTAGTAATACATATAGATTAGAATACATACATACTATTGTACTAGAAGATAAAAAAAATAGGTAGAAAATTTTTCGGTAAGAATTATTAAGAAAGTGTAATCTTCGGCAGATTAAAAATTTCATGTTCAGAAAAAGTCTTTTAGGAAATGTTCTTACATTTTCTATGTGATAATGTGATACAGTTCGCAATTTATGTTCTACTAGCGACCTCATAATAGCGTATGTGTTAATACAGGTCACAGTATAGGTGTTAGATTACATCATAATCCGTCCAGCCATTTCATGATGAAGAATAAACAAACATACATACATTCGCATTTTTAGTAAAAACTCATTTTTATGAACTCCAATCAAGATTGTAGCTAGCTCGAATATGAATAAAAAAATGTGTTTTTATTTCCAACAGCGGAATCAACCCAACTACCTGCCACTGATTGTGAGCGCATGACCTGTTATTTTGGAGCCTACTGCGTTATTCGCAGTGGCTTAGCCACTTGTGAATGCGGGGCTTCAGAGTGTTCTGCAGCTGAAGCACCCTCTGTTTGTGGGAGTGATGGACGCACATACATCTCCACTTGCCATTTAAGAGCTCACGCGTGTAGAACCCAGTCTGATGTCGTGGTCCAAGCCTTTGGTCCTTGTGGTGAAGAAGCCCCAACTGTCAGGCGAGGTAGCCGTTCCGTAGAACATCGCTCGAACATCCCACGTAAAACTTACTATAAAAAAACAAAACCCTTAACAGAAATGGAACGCACTCAAAACACCATTCAATTTACCGACGCTTCAGTAGACACGAGTGACAGCGGCAAGCCTGACAGTCCCGAACCTGAGCTATCTTGTATAGATATTCTACCGCCAGTCGATTATCGCTAGACCGAGCTAGTTGCACAAAGTAGTTTATGCACAAAAGTGTTTATTTATTAAAAAAATATGTAAATATTTGTTCTTTCATAAAACGATTCGTTCACAGAAAAGGTACACGCACTTGTATCAAAGGCGAATGAAGGAGGGAGTGGTTGTAATAAGAACGTGCCAAAACCGATTCCCATTGAAAATCATTCAGAGGAAGAGCAATACATAACAAATGAGGTTGAGGAAAATTATCCAATATATGATGAATATTTTGAAGAGAATGAAAATGAAATATACACAGCGCCATTGTTCGATGGACTGGCTCAAATGACAGCAAGAACTCATTTGCCCGCCAAACGATTTGATATTTGGGCGGAAGTATCCGCTGTGTGTGGAACGGGTGCTTTAATAAGTGCCTCAGGTGTGAGAGATTATTTATGGCTCGGTTTTGTAGATAATAGAGCCATATTGAGATGGGACACGGGGAACGGGCCGTCGGAGTTACGCTCTGGGAAAGTGAAAGTTGATGTCAAGTCCAAAATATCTGCGAGGCGATATAAGAAAGATGCAATGTTAAAACTAGGATCGACTACTGCGAGGGGCACGACGCATGGACGGATGAGTTCCCTAGATGTGGATCCCTACATCCACGTCGGTCAACCACCCGATAATATTACGAAGTAAGTTGATTTAGTGGTATTATTTCTAGATCTGGAGCAATAGTATTAAGTGTATTTTGAAATTATTAGTATTAAGTATATTTTGAATTGATTTCCGCCTTAAATAAAAAACTTACGAAGTATCTCAAATTTATTGTGGCAAATTATAAAGTAGAAAATCCGTTCATTATTCAATATATTAGCGTAAAGCTATATTGCATATCTAATGGACATAATTCTTATCCCTTATATAATCATATGAATAAAAAAAGAGAGAGAGAGAGAAAGTTAGTTAATATGAAAAGTTTTAATTAGTAATAATAATATTATAAAAAGTAAACAACATACCTAAAAGCTGAAAGAAAATAACTCATCATAAAATTTACTCTAGCCTTTCAAATTGTTATTTAATCATGTATAAATGCTAACAAAAAGATAGTAACAAAGCAACAATATGGTAAGGTTGTCGGGCACGCACGCCCTGCACGGGTTCGTGGGGTGCGTGCACCGCCTGCGCGTGAGCGGGCGCGACATCATCCCGCCGGCGCGCGGCCTGGCCGTGGTCGCGCGCGGCCTGCGCCCCTGCACGCCCTACAACCTCGCGCAGATACAGTGTCCTTGATATTATAATACTACTATAACATGTTTGTACAGAACGTAAATAAATACAACTTATTGGTTATTTTCTTTTAATGTGGATTCATCTACTCAGTACACGTGTGTTAAAGTTGTAATAAGGGAGTATATTTATGAATCATTCGCAAAATTATAAGATATTATTGTGTTGAGAGGTCACAGATTAACATATTAGCTACATATTATAAAGAGACACGAACGAAGTGTAGGTACATAGGTTTTAGTTTCCTCCGTGTCGTTATCGTTTGTCGTCGTAGGTTGCGAAATAGTATAATGTGCCAATAATATCAACGTAATAAGTTGATTTCTTTACGTTTTTTACAAACGCTTAATTCAATAGATATTGGGTTTTAAGATAATAAAATAAATATTTATGAATGTTTTTTCAGACGTTTTCTATAGGTACTTATATCAAAAATGTTGAACATTTTTATGGTATACTAAAAATTTCCATTAACTCTAAAACTATGCTATTTATTTTCTATATCTGTATTCTATTGTCTATTTAACGAGCTATCTAATAAATACGCAATGTTATTTAATAAGAAAACTTATGTAGAGATCATAATATGTGACGTGTTATGATTCAAAGATTTTTAATATAATACTTACATTGTGATATTATTCAATTCTCAATCGTTATTGTAAGTAATCGCATATCTATAAAGAATACTATATTTCACTGTCTTAATCTATTTTGACATTTTTGTAAATATATTTTCAGATAATATTAAAGGAATATTATTGAACATATTGTTTAATTTACAAATCTCAAATTCATAAAGAATGTTTTTATATTGTGTGTGTATGTGTGTTGGGCTTTTATTAACGTCCCACTGCTGGGCCTAGGGCTCCCTTCAATGCGGGGGGTTCAGGCTTTTATTATTAATGTCCTTTACAAGGCAGCGTCCTACTTCTATATACCTATCTTATTATATTCGATCTACGAATAAGTAAATTCAATGAACATACAACAACAACAACAACAACGTACATATAAAAATATTTCACTATACAGTATTATTTGTATAAAATTATTTTCAAGCATGCGGAGTTTAATGCGTTTCGGGACATATATAAATGGCTCATCATTTTCCTCAGTTTTCAACAGCAGGCCATTATTTCTTATCTACATTTCGTCCTCACTTCTCTTTATAATCCTTCTTATCGCTATCTACTTCATAAAAGACCGAGCTTCAATTTTAAGCTATTCTTCCAAAGAGAACTAAAGACAAGTCGTAAAATGTTTTTACAAGTATCCTCCCATAATTTAAATTAATTTCATAAAATATTCCCATGACATAAAGATAAGCATTGACTTAATTATGCCTTAAATTTGGCATAAACTGGTTGTTAAAATATTATTAATTTGTACATAAATGAAATAATTTTAAACTATGTTAAAATTTAAATTAAATCTTTTAACTAAAAGGGTACTGGCTTCGAGATAAAAGTTTTGTTTAAGAGTATTAGAAAGTTATTCGTCACATACGCGTGATATATTTTATTAAAGATTATAAGGGACCTTTGTAATTAAAGAATCTAATTAAAAAATAATAATAATAAAGAAAATGCTGTAAAGCATTCGAAACGTCGGGAAACAAAAATCAAAAAAAATCCGCGAAATAATCCGAAAAGATAGTTTTATTTAAAATAAAAAAAAAGATGTTTGTATGTATGTATAAGCCCTTTTTTTAATGTCCCACAACTGGGCACGAGCCTTCCTTCAATTTAAGGGGGATCAGGCTATAGACCATGCTGGCAAAGAAGGGTGGCATATCTTGAAATAAAATGAAATTATCTAATACTAGATGATTTTCTAAAATATTCATTCACATAATATACTTGGTTATTTTATAACTGAATTTTGGAATAAATTTTAAGTACTGATGAATAACAATTTAATTAAGCCTCTCGTTGATACTTAACTTGTTATTATTACTCAAGAAATTCATTTAAACAAGTAGCTCGACGCGCTCATCCTCTTATGTGTTATAAATAAAAGTATTAATGTCTAAATTATTTACGAAACTGTTAGAAAAATACATATAACTGTGTCAAGTAGTTTGGAAAAAATTGAGATAATTTTTTCTAGATTTAAGACATGTGAAGGCTTCGATTAGCTTTTGTACATGTTCGTGCAAAAAAAATGTTAGGTTTGAGGATAAACATATAAGTATATTATAAGAATATACTTAGTTAAAACGCTCAGCCATTATAGTATGTACCTTATTTTTAAGAGTTCTGTTTCTCTATCCTCCTTCTAAGTCTATCCTCTCCGTACTTACAGGGAGACGTACGAAAATATTGTAATATGATACAAATACGTAGCAATAAGACCCAATGACGTTCATTGAATAAATGAAAGGTTTCTGATTAATACTTTCTTAGATTTACGCGAATGTTTGACATTATTAAATAAAACTATCTTTTCGGATTATTTCGCGGATTTATTTTGATTTTTGGTTCCCGACGTTTCGAATGCTTTACAGCTTCCATGGTCACGGGAGAGAGTCTCTCCCGAAATAATCCGAAAAGATAGTTTTATTTAATAAGGTTTCTGATTATTAAATATTATTAAATATGGCGACCTATCCTACATTATCATTAAAAACTAACTTTTATATTTAGGAGGAAAATCACTGAACTCATTGAGCAAATCCCTAAAAATTCCTAACAATTCGAAAGTTACGTTATCCCGAGTAATAATGGCTATTTTTTATCGACACTCAAGCCTCCAGGGGAATAGTCAATAGAGCTGCTGGCGATAACTAATATACCTAATGTTTCGGACGACCAGAACCAGGGTATGTCTAGTACCCGGAGGTCGACCTGGGACAATCTCCCAGACGTTCTTGGCGTACACGGCAGTATGTCCGTTCGCTGGTAATGTACGCCACCACGCACCCCTGAATGCGTAGCTTGGGTCCCGATCCACTAGGGTTTCTTCGTTGACAGGAGACTATACTTAGAGGCGATGAAATAAAAACACAATTTTTCCTTTTTTTTTTTTCTCTTGGTTTCGGTTCTTCCTTTTCCTTTTAGTTGTTGCCTCTTCGGTGGCTGTCTTGCGACTGACTCGAATCGAGAAATGGCTCGCCTTTTATTTGGCCCGTTAATACCTTACAGAGAGCCGCGTACTTTGAGCTCGTTTTTCGAATAAAATTTCCCTAAACCGAAACCTTGAGAGTCCTTTTATTTTACGTTTTCAGTAAAACACCTTACACATATTTATTTATTTACATGCCTTACATACTATTATACAATATTAAAACATAATATTCAATATATAATAATTAATTAAAAAAGTCTTAAAACAAAAATATCTAAATTTCTAGGTTGCTACATTTTTACTATACATTTTCCCTTATAACTTTTGAACGGATAGTCCTATCGACCTAATTCTTGTTTTATTATAAGTTTTATAATAAAATCTATTATTTAAAACATAAACTATTATGCTATTGCAAGAAACAAAAAATCTCATTTTCAAGTTACGTAATTATATGCTAACATTTTACTTACGTACCTATTCCTTTCAAATTAATGTTAAATAGTCTTATATGATTCAAATAAGCAAAAAATACTCTAAACTAACCTTATTACACTAATTAGAACTTATTTTAACATAATAAATCTAATAAGAATGAGATTTCATATTTACAACAATTATTCATAATACGCTAAAATGACATTGTCCCTATATTAATACACACGTTACTCGAAGATAAGTTTTCCGTCGCCGACATTCTCCCCCTCGTGCTTTGCACCAACTCCTGGACTCGGCGACGCTCCCGGCACCAACAGCACCACTCTCGAACTGGGCCTCCGTAGGACACCTCCTCTGGTCTCGACGTCGACGACTCTGGTCCGCCCGTCTGGTCCAGGATACACATGCAGGATTCTTCCGCGTGGCCAGATGCATCTTGGTAGGCTGTGATCGACGATCAGTACGATGTCTCCGACTTGCAAATCTGTGGCGCTGACTCTTCCTTTGGTCTTCCTTGGTAGTAGAGTGGGCAAATACTCTCTCAGCCAACGTTGCCAGAAGTGATCGGCAAGTCGCTGCGTAGCCTTCCAGGTGTGTCTGCCCACAAGCTCGTTGTCCTCGAAGCTGCCGATTCTTGCTGCGCCACATGATCGCCCGATGAGAAAGTGGTTCGGTGTAAGTGCTTCTTCTTCAGGGTTCTCGGAGAGGTGGGTGAGGGGCCGAGAGTTGACTATGTGCTCGGCCTCTAACAGGAGGGTATGAAGTACCTCCTCTCGTGGTTGCCTTTCGTTGAGCGTGGCGTCCAGTGCGGTTTTAATGGATCGCACCAGACGCTCCCATGCACCTCCCATGTTTGGTGCACCAGGAGGTATGAACTTCCACTGCACGCCGATCTTCTCCGCTTCCGAGATAAGGTCTTCTTGCTTCATGGTGTCTAGTGCTTCTTTGAGTTCTTTGTTGGCGCCAACGAAGTTAGTGCCATTGTCGGTGTAGATTATCTTTGGCATTCCCCTTCTCGCGGCGAATCGTCGTAGTGCCATGATCATGCTGTCAGTGGAGAGTGAAGGAGTGAGCTCAATGTGTACAGCTCGTGTTGTTAAGCATGTGAATAGAGCACCCCATCTCTTCTCATGGCGTCTTGCTACGGTGATCGTCATAGGGCCGAAGTAATCTATTCCCGTGCACGTAAATGGAGGGTTTCCGTGCATCAGCCTCTCAGCAGGTAAGTTGCCCACTGGTAGTTCTTGAGGTCTTGCCTTTCTTGTTTTGCACCACTGGCATTGATGTTGAATGGTCTTGATCGCTGACCTCAGTCCTAGCACCCAGAAGCGTTGTCTTACTTCGTTCATTACGGTCGCGTGATTCCCGTGATTGAAGCGGCAGTGAAATTCTTCTATGATGAGAAGTGTTGTCTTGTCCTTGCTGTCGAGTACGATGGGTCGTTTGTAGTCTCTGGTAACCCCTCGTATCGCGTCGATTCTTCCTTTCAGTCG